GAGGTGGGTGAACGGGTGGATTACATGATGGGACTTTGACCCCTGATGTGACCATTGACATGTCAGGGATTTAGGCCATCCCCCTACCTAGGACCTGTCTGGGGTGTACCTACGACTATGTCTCTGATCCCAATGCGGCCGGCCCTTGGGAAGTGTGCGGAGAGGCTTCTTGCAGCTTTGTGGCTCGCGGCGCGTCGGGGCTCCCGCGCCTTAACCCCTTTCCACTCGCGCGCAGCTTGTGGAGGACTCTGAGTACGCGCGCGTCATTTCTCTCTACTCGCGCGCCTACGAGCCTTCGTGCGCGCCCTATCTCAGCGCGTCTTGCCTTGGCGATTAAGCCCGAGTCACATGCCCAACAGTACCCAAGTAATCCAACAGAACAAATATAAAAGATAAAGAAGAAAGAACGGATTTTTCAATTGTTCTTCATACCCTGCTTTTGCTTTGCTCTCTCACTTCCTCCCTCTGCGTATTTTGATTTCTTTTGGGTTTCTTCTCAAGTTATGATGGTTGTCAGACAGCTTTAACCGCCCCGCCTGCCCGGTTTCTCGCTCGTCGTGCTTTCTTTTCTTTCTCACTTATCTTCTTTCCATTCCTGATTCAGGTTTAGGGTTGTGTTGCCTTACTTGTTTTGGGTCCAGAGAAGGTACGATGTTTAATGAAAACCCAGAATATTTACCGCGCGCCTTCTTATCCACGCGCATGCTCTGGCGTCTGTGGCTCACACCCACTGACTCCGTTATTTTGACCTTCCAGAATCCAGAGAGCCTTTCCGGGCCCGCTAAGTTTTGCCATTCCCTTCCCGCGTCCCGCGGCCTGATTTCGTAGCCAGTGGAAAGTTGGAGGGTTAATTAGTTTGTTCCCAAGTGAATTTTCCCCCAATCCAAGAGAGTTTGCCGCGTTTTCTGGTTTGCTGGACCTTTTTGTAATACAAGTCAAAAACAAATTCAACCCAACAAAACCCACATATCACATATCCGTGCCCATTGGATAATTTCAATCCGACCACAGGATATAGGGTATTTGTTTGGTTCGATTTGTGTGGGTAGTATTCGTTTTGTATTCATAAGAATGAGTTGACCGATTTCAACTCATTTCTCATCATTTATCATTTCGAATTATGACTATCGAGTTATTTATCGTCTTAAAATGCGTGTACCTGTGTTAGAGCACTCGCCCTCGTGTATGATGCATCATTTGTCCTTGCCTATCATTTTGCACAAAATGAAATTGTCGGACGGCCACACATGTTCACGATCGTTCAATGCGTGCCGTCCGTTAACTATACTCGTATCGTAAGGCAATTTATTATCCTCTTGTGAAATGGAAATGTGATGAATCTACCATTTTGCGTTTGACTGAATTTCGTTAGTGTGTACTTCACTCAACGACATGCTTAGTTTCTGTTGGCACACATAGCTAAAGCAACTGTATACATATGATCCCTGCATTGAAGTTAAAGTGCCATTATACAACTTATGGCGCCTATGTTTAATCGTCTTCTTCTACTGTCTAAATTATGAACAACTGGAAAGAGCCTTCTTCTAGATGGTAAACTGTGTTAGAATATGCATGTCTATCGAGCTAGTTGGTACTAGAAAAGTCTTAAGCTTGATTTCTTTCCAGCTGGTTTTCATGTGGAAGTAGTTGAAGTAGTACGAGCTAGTACATGTTCTGGGTCTTAAAAGATCCAATATTTGCCATTTCGATCACCGACTTTTCACGGGATGACATTTCTGGTCCTCAACTTTCTCCCCCCACAGAATGCCAACTGGTCGAGCGACAAAAGTGCGGTGCTTTGAAGAATCTGCTTTTGTTGTTGGACTTGGACTGGGGAGATCAGGAATGGCGAGACATCAGCCAGCATGGCATAAATCTAGGTAGCTAGTTATTGGGCATTCCTTTGTCATGGGTCCCCAAAATGGAAGAGGCTTTACATGCAAATAAAGGCTTGCATTAGTTCGTTTTGGAGTATAGATTAGGAACCACTTTATAATATTTTTTTTAGTGGGTATTAATTATAAAAGAGACCCAAATCTTTGTGTCTTCCTAAAGTGACTCGATTATGAAACTTGAGAGAGAAAAAGGAAAAGTTATGAAACTTGAGAGAAAGAAAAAAAGGGATAGTGAGCGTTTTTTTGTTGGATCTTACTTATGCCTACTCAAACGAAAATCAACTTATGGGTTTGAATTTTACACAGATATGTCTTATCATGTGCTTTGAGACAACGATTGATATTGAGGGGTGAGGACTTGAACCCACTACCTCATGGACATGGATAAACTAGCTTTGTGACCATGTCATAAACCAACTAATCCCAACGATTCGAGTTGTTGGGAGAGGTCCACATTTGATACTTAATCACTTTCTTACATGACCGATTATTAATCGATTAGTACATTTATTATTTATTTTGTGATCTGACATGCGAAAGTTTTGGATATCTTGTATGTAGTTGTTTTTCTCCAATGATGCATTTGGCAAAATAGGGAAAAGAAAATTTGTTGCCATGTTCATATTGGTGGCTTGATATATGGGGAATGAATGAGATAGAATCATGATGGAAGTTGTGATGTGGGTGGTCTATCTAGTTCCACTTTCACAAGAACACTCTTCTTTAGTCTTCACTCTCCTCCAATGGGGGAAAGTTGGTTGCTACCTCTCCCTCTTATCTTTTGTCACTCATTCTTTTTGTAACTAGCTTGAAATGTACTCTTTGCATCAGAACTTCCCCCACTAGAAAGGGCTTTCCTTTTTCTTCAAAACAGAAATCACCAAATACTGGAAGAGAGCCATGTTTATAATTGTCAGCCTTTGTTTCCTTTATGTATCTTAACTTGGGTTGCACTCCATGGATCTCTCCCTTAACAAAGACTTCTTCTTTATTGTATCTAGCCAGTACTCCCCTCGTCCTTATATGTGCTGAAAAGTTGGAGAAAAGAAAGTTTTCATTTTGGTCCATCCCCAACATTGCTTTAAACGGTAGCTAAAATTTTGAAAAGTACTTATGCACAAAGAACATAATCCATGCTTGCAAAGTGTTTATGCCAAATTTGAAAGTATATACACATAAATTTCTTGATAGTCTTTAATTTTTTGACTTCCAATCTAGAAATGGGCAACCTATTTTGATTGTTTTTCTTCATCATGCCTCTAAAGGCTCTCAATGAATCTTAGCCTACCGCGTATCAGCCTCGTTTTAGTATCATCTATTGGTGTCTCTAAAAGATGGGAAATGAGTCGTGCTTCACAATCTCCAAAATTACCACTACAACCTTTCTACATTGCGTCCTCACATGGATACATATAGGGTGGATTGTCATTGACAAAGACAAGTTGATGCATAAACCCGATCAGTCTCCACAATCGGATGAACATATTTTATGGAGTCATATGCTCTAAAGTGGGTTACATTTAACACATACAACTTTGTGCATAGACACCACGCCACTACGAGTGATCTATAAGAGATCACATAGGGTGTTGCTTGTCAGCATTTGCATCTAACGTGGGTGTGTGCTTATTCATGCGACTAATTGACGGGTATTGCAAAGGTCTCCAGCTAACATGAGATGCTAGGATAAAAAGAGTAGGTACACTCATGGCGGGCGGGTCCAACTTCTTGAGTTGCACGGACCAGAGCGACCAACACCGTGCCCTAATCGATCATAAATTGGCGAGTTATACTAGCTCCCATGTTAACAGAGACACAATAAGCATGAAATTACGTTGCATGTGCACGATACAAACTCTTTTCGGTTTTACAAGTTGAATACATTTGGTCTTAATCTTATATACCCAGTACATTGAATATTGTATGTTTATTTTTGGATATTCAGAAGCCCAACTGATTATGAATGAAATATGACCACCGGTTAACAAGTTCCCAGAAATGGTAAGAGGCATTAGCTAGGTAGCGACAGTTTTTGCAATCAAGTTACACATTGTTTTTGCTTGCAAGTATCACAACAACATTCCACCCTCGTCTCCAATATGTACGTGTGTGGTTTTCTTTCTTTCTTTTTTCCATTTTATAGAAGAAAAATGACCAATCATGTGTCGGCATCGGCAATGAGGAAAATTGGTGGGGAAAGAAAGAAACAAATTTTGAAAAGAAAGGCGGAGGGAAGTGAAGTGCAGAAGAAGAAGAAGGCGACATTGACCCTCCTCCAGCCAGGCCCATGGAGTTTGCACATGGAGCTGTGCCCTAACAAGACCTTCAAGCATGCATTTATTGGAAAATATAGCCTACATTTTCCTCTCTCTTTTTTTTCTTCCTTCCAAATCTCATAAAATTTTTGTTCCACTCTCACCAATTTGATTGACTCTCGCTTATTAATTTGTTGCACAATTATAATAATTTTTGTTATTAAGTCATTGTTGTTGCTTTGATTAGTGGCAAATCCCTCCAGACATGGACATGATCGGACAACAACAAATGTCATGTAAATAATACGTGAGATATTATTATCATTGATGGCCTGGTTTGGTTACATTTGGTGTTCTGTTTACTTATACTAACCCAATTTTAAATGGGTTAGAGGTCTGAAACTAACACCTAATCAAGCTTTTATATAAAGACTTAAATGCATGGTTTAAGCCTTTAAGGGCTCCCCCTCTGATTAATGTTTTTACCTTTTAAATCGGCAGTCAAGGTGCATAATCCTTTTTAACACTCCTTTAAAAAATAATTTTACGCAGTGGGAAGGAAGGAAATACCGAAGTAGTCCTGCCTGCAAACACAAAAGCCCACTAAAACACAGGGCTAGGTCAAGCAATCAAGCTTAAAAGGCCCAATCCATTCTAAACCTAAAAGGCCCAATCCACTATTACAAATGAGAGCTTGCCATTGAACACTTGGATGGCAATATCTCCAACAAAACAAAAGATTGAACCGATGGGATTCCTTCAATGGAGAATGTCACAGCAGCAAACGCCTCTTCCATCCAAAATCACTTCTTCTTATCAAAAAATGCATCAATGTCTGGAGCCCCTAATACTCAAAACGCCTCTTCCATGCAAAGATACTCAGGCTCAAATATGGGAACATGTAGCCCCAATGCAAGGGTGAGCATGTTGTGAGTTTATCGATTGCTGATACTTTACTATCTTTGACTGGTTGATCATATTGTGTGTTTGTGTAAGCTATGTCATTTTTGTGGAGTAAAAACTACAGTGGCAAGCAGCACCAGCACTTGTATGCACAAAACATGTTGAGAAGTCCTTGTAGCAGGTTGAATAAACTGACATGTTTTGTTTTTTGTTTTCATGTTGAACAGAGCTTTCATAGTAAACCTTGGAGACATGCTGAAGCGATGGAGCAAGGCTTCACTTTGTACTTTGATTAAATAATATATATGGTGTTTGGTGGAAACAAAGGCAAAAACTGTATTTTTCTTGTTTGAGATGGTTATGTAGCTGATGATATGGTAGATAATTCAATATCTTCCTCTTTATACTGAACAAGAACAGATAGGAATCAACTAAATATGATCTCTTGAGAATATACAAAATTGTCCCACCCCAAGAGAATTATGTTGGCAACTATAACACTGTTTTTGTAATAACTTACTGAAATGGTTAGCTCAAAAGAGGTGTTATACGGACCATCAGCCTATACAAATAATCAGTTAGCTCAACATACTACAAGAGATAACAGAGACACAGAAATGCTCTTTCTTCATTCATCTCCTCTTCAGAATTCATAGTGTCTCCCCCATGTTAGTCTCAAATCTCAATCACCCATAAAACATCTTCAGAGGATTCCCAGTCACAACAGTCATTTACACAGCAACTGCTTTTCCCACGTCGAGATTGTTGAGTCGACATGTTCCCAACAGGAGCTCTGGCAGTTCTTCCTCAGTGTTGGCCTGCAACCATGAAGAGAATAAAGATAACTCTCCCTTACCCACTTGAGAAACTGGAATAAGATGATGGTCTTGATACATAAACTTACCTGAATTAGGAATGCCATTTCCACGACCAGATTGGTCATGTAACCATTAACAAGACTCACCACACCTCTAGCAACAGTTGATGATCCAACATCAATTGCAAGCTGCATGCCAGGAAAATGATCCATTAATTCCGATTCGTTGGCTTTCACCCCTCTCTGTGTTAAAAGCAGCTCATCAGTCACATCAGTATCTCATAGCTTAATTACCTCCAAGTAGTTCTTGCCGCGGTGGTAATGGATTTCAAGTGCTTGACCAACCAAGCACGATTTCTTCCCAACACTCTGCTTCACAATCCAAGATCCCTGCCATAAACAAAACAACCCATCACAACACAGCCATATGTGTTTGTGAAACAAGAAAAATAAAATATTAATATGACTTGCCAACCAACCTTTGGGATGAATGGAATGAGCTTGAACCTCGAGTTTCTATAAGCATCATCCCCATTGACAAAGCTGTTCAACAATGGTTGTTCTTCCAAAGGGGTTTTCAGCATGTAGTATAAGGCTAGGGTGTAAACTGGAACACCAGGAACCTGATGGTTCATGAATATAAACGTAATAACAAAGATCCATTATGCATTTAGATTCTGGGTGTGATTGAGGATGGATCAAGCACTTTCAGTATCTAGTCATTAGAGTTCTCAAGTTACCTGAATGTTGACAATGAAGAAGAACTCTGGCCGATTCTGTAATGCATACTTCTGCATATATAAGCCACGACGTGATTTTGTACTTTTCTTCTTTATGATTGAAGTTTCCTTTTACTGGAAACATTTAAACTAAGGGTAAGATCATATATACCTGAACAATGCCATTGGGGCGGCTTCCAAGATCTTGCTCCCACCGGTCTGATCTTAGCCAATCTGCACCTACCAGCTGCATCATTGTTCCTTTTGCCTTTACCTACAAGCAACCAACAAATGAAACCAGTTAGTAACAATTAAGAATCTCAATGTACTTTAGAACATTCAGAAAATGTGAAGAATGAATATTAGTATAACCTTCTGGTTGTCTTTCAAATAGTTTTCGCCACGGATCAAGAATGTCGAAGGATCAGCAGATGACCAACTGCATGGGCAAGAACCATTTGCATCCTTTTGAAGAGTTGATCCATAGGAACAGAAGTTACTATTGTCTTCTGATGCTTCTTGTAAATCAACATAACCCTTCTTTTGAACTGCATAGGATTTTAACCATAAATTTCGAGCCCGTTCATAAACCATAACACGTAAGTTATTACCCCTAACAACTAACAAAAACATGTTAGTTTAATGTGCACAAGAAAAAGAAAAAAAGACTTAACCAGCAAGGTCATGCAATTTCTTCACAAGACCAGCAGCAGATGAGAATGCAGGCGAGTGGTCTATATCCTGCAGAACTCGACATGGAAATGACTCAGAATGTGTTTTATTAGGATCAAATTTCAAATGCAAAAAAAAAAAAAAAGAGAAAAATCCTTTTATAGTGAGTAACTACCGGGGCACATGCTGTCGGAGTATCGGAGGAAGACCACTCAACCTCGGAGTGATCAAATTCATTGAGTTCCTGGTCAGGAACATCAAAGAACTCATCAGAGCAATTGTGGAGGGCCACCAAGCTAGTGTACATGGATCCCTTTTTCTTCCCATATTCCACGTCAGTTGAAGTACCATGATTCAGCTGTGTGTTATCTAAAGGGCTGTTTTCATCTAGAGTAGCTTCATGGGATTTAGTAAGGGACACCTTCCGAGGAGGGCGCTGCAGTTCTCTGGAGAAGGGGCATTTGCCTGCTTTGGCTCGATACATCTCTCTCAGTGCAGCAACTCTTTCAACCATACGGATGGTTACTGATTTGGCAGAAGCTGGACGGAGGTAGAGTTTCCAGAACCTCCAGTCCGCGGCAAGCATGTGCTTTACAAGCGTGCGGTTGCCTTCATCTACGGGAGTGATCACATATCCACCACCTGCATATACAAAAGCCACATCAAGATGTTAGACGTATTAAACATTCAGATTTCAGACCAATATATGTACTCTTTAGAACTTTTGACACCTACTTTTAAGGCAAGCTCGAACATAACCCTTCTGTGGTGGACATTTCTTGTGAATCACCGAATGGTATAGAATTACTGCAATGAACCAAAAGTCGATAGCTCACTAGAGATGAAATGAAATGATCTTTTATGGCAACATTAAGTCATTTCTGCATTATAGTATTTGCTTGGACAACAAGGTACCATATGTTCCGTCATCCTCTCTTCTCCAATATCTTCGCAATAACAAGTCCCTTCTTCGCATCCCCCTGTGAAGAAGAAACCACAAAAAAAAAAAAAATTGAAAAAATGAATCAGCATTATGCACTAGGTTATGGAGTTGTGAGTTTAACGACCATGGGAGCCACTCGCTGTAGAGCTGCTTATGGATTATATCTGTATGACCATCCAGATGTTCGACTACACTGCCTTTATAGAAACAATAGTCCCATCTACAAGAAATAAACATCAATTGAGTAAGTTAGTGCCTCACAGGGAGACCACTGGATCAGAACTTGAGACCTTCCTCAGGTAATTCCAGCTGTTCAACTACTCCGATTACAAACAAGCATGTTGATTATGTGATAGCAGACTTACTCTGATCTTGATTGACCAAGAGACATCACAGACCGGAAAATGACTTCTGAAGTTGCATCAACCACACCAACTCCCATGATTGCTGGATTGTCATCCCACCTCTAGATATAAGAAGCAGCATATTCAATTCCAAAAGTACATTCTAATCTAAAATGATAGAAAATAAAGCAAAATGCTCTGTACCCCGTCTTGAGAACATGCATCTTTGGATTCTCTGAAAAGGCGCAACCCTGTAGAATAAATGTTCAAACTTTCGTATAAAAAAAAAGAAACCTGTTTCAACCAGAAATGCATGATCTCCTGTCCCTGCAGAAGCTTGTTTTTTCACACAAACGACCAGAGCTCTTACCATTTTGACAGCCAAAGATTTTCCAAGGCGAGGGTGCAATGACATCAGATGTCATTGCCTCGGTATGCAATGTTGAGTAATAGTCTATCGACCTTTTCGACTCTGTTCTTCGTGAAATACTTAGTCTGCCATGGGGAAAAGTTGCAGAAAGCCATAAGACATTAAGTCAATAAGTCCTGGAAGCAAAGCTATTTGACATATATACCTTAAGGGAGGCCACTTGCTCTTGGAGATGGCCACAAAGTTCTGTGTCGGATGTGGACATTCCTTTAAGAGAGCATTCTTTAGGGAAGAAATCCATCTTGCAGCTTCTTCTGAACTACTTGCTCCCAACTGTTTAAGACCATATTGCTTCAAAGTTAGTTATGCAGTTCGAGACAAGTGCAGTGTTGGTTGCTAGAGGATACATACAAAATTTAAATTACCTTAAGCTGGTCATTATGGTTTAAGGTACTGTAAAGTGTGAAGATGTAGAAGACCTGAAAGTTGCTTTACCAATTAGACAATTTTATTCAAGGCGCATGAAGGGTTCAATCAACCTGATAAACAAAAACAAGATATGAGGCATTACTTTTCTGTTGATGTTCTCCCTTCCGTTGTCTGTGACCCGAATGCAAGAATCCATAGTTGCACTTCTAGTCAATTCCTGCCAAAAAAGAGGAAAGTTTTAGCAAGTAAATTGCAGTTTCATTATGGAGGTCATAATGCTTTGGGAAGGATTAATCTGCAACAAATTATATGAAGACATGCATTTTTAATACGAAAATGCAAAATGAAGGTAGAGAAATGAAATGTGGTAGATGTTGACAGATCACAAATCTGTTAAACCAGACAACAATATGCATGATATCTTCAAGCTTGCAACATGGTGAAACAAACATGAAACCATGTCTATAGGACAATAACTCCTGACAAAGGTTCCATACCTTTGGAAAGCAAATGAGAAGCAAAAAGGAACAAACAAAAAGAAAAAAATTTGGTGGGGCACCTCAACTTCTGAAGTGGGAATGGCCTTGTAGCACTTGAGACAGTTCTGTTCAAGAACATAGTACCTCTTCCTGGAGAATTGCAAACCAAACCTATTGGACCTAATGGTGTACAACCAGCCCTCCATCCTTTCATCATTTTCTTGGACACCCATTTGAGAAAACCAAGGAAAGATGCAAACTTTGCGAGTATCCCTCGGATTCAAGCGCTGCTACCAATCTGCAGGGAAGGAGAAAGAGCTGGCTGTTTGTTTTTCTTGTGTTGGTTTTTTACATGTAATTGTGCATACAATGATCTCAACTACTTGAATAAAGCTTCCACTTTGTTCTTGTTCTTCCTCTAAACAGGTTTGAATGATGAGAACCAATCCTCTGATCCCACCCGAGGAAAGGTGGGAATCAGGGAATTGAATAATCAGTAGCTGGTTTGTTTGCAGGACACCAATTTGCCTTGTTGTTTCTCTTCTCTACCTTTTCTCCTTTCTGTGTTCTTTTTTCTTCTTTTCCTCCTGTGATTTGTTTATACAAACAGAAATTTGTGTTTTGGGGCTGTGACAGTTGGAGGGAACAAAAATGTTTGTTGCAGTTTACTATTTTTTGCCTTTCAACTTGTGGATCTTAATTCTCAGGAAAATGAGGGCCTTTCCAATTCAACGTTGTAATCTTTTTTTTTTTTTTTTTAAACTTGTGTTGCCGTTAGAGAGCCTTCCTCGCCTATATCTTTTCCATTTGTTTGATCTCCTAGAAAATTTCTTGCTGGTTTGCTTGTTAAAAAACAAATTACTTCAGTCTTTTTTTTCTTCAGTTTCCGAGTTCATTTTGTCAGATTGTTAACAATCTAAGTTCCTGCCAAGAACCAGTTGATCCCAATAACTCGAGTTGTTGGGAGAGGTTCAATCGTGGATCATATACCACAACACTGGGCTTGAAGTTTGCACAGGTCCGAAGACAAGAATACCATGTGCTTAACAAATGGGGGTCACCGGGAATCGAACACAAGACCTCTCGGTCATAGAAGGCTCTGATACCATGTCAAGAACCAGTTGATCCCAATAACTCGAGTTGTTGGGAAAGATTCAATCGTGGATCATATACCACAACACTAACAGTTCCAACCATTTCGGCAGGGTGTTGAGTGTTCGGAATCAGGCTATGCTCATTACTAAGTACGAACCGTGCATTCTCAACTATCTGAGTGAACAATGAATCACTATTGATGCCGTTATGTGTTCACGAGCCCTATAAATCACCACCAGTCAATACTCGACCAACCCATGAAACGGATAAAAAATGTAATCCTTGTCAGCAGGATAGCCAAATTGTTGCGCACATGATATTCGATGAGGTATATCGACGTCTTCTAAAGATCGTGATTAAAAAAAAACACAAGCAAGAATCTGACTTCTTCCTTCACATTAGAATTGCCCAAAACTGAAAACCACCATCAGCAGGACTCCCAAGTCCCAACCACAGAATTTTCAGAGCAAGCAGTTTGCTAAACTGTGATATTATATAATAAGAGTGCTTTCCTTGCTGTCCTAATACCTCACGTATTGAAACAACCACAGTTCGACGGTCCCCTAACGGGTTGAGGATCCAGAAGTACAATCTCAATGCAAGGTTCTTTACCGTCCGAAAACATTCTACAAAAATTCAGAAAGAACCTGCAGTAAATGCATGAGTCCTATGCCTGAATTGCTCCAACTTTGCCAGTAGCCAAGTCAAGCAGACGTCTACCAAGCTGCATGAGATACATGGATATGACATTAATCGCTGTCGAACTAGGACAACAAAGATGTCAGTGCAGAGTGGCAGGAGACCTTGGAGAAACAGCTGATTTCTATCGCTTGCGTATTGAAACATCAATATGCAGGTAAGCTACACAAGCCGCAAACAGGAAGAAAACTGTAGAGACCAACATCAGTGGCTCTGCTAGCATGAAGACTGGGTTAAAGCTATAATACACCTGTCAAGAGATGGAATTAAAAAAAAGGTTCAGTAGCATATCGAGGGGAAAGGTGATCTAACGATCAACAGAATAATAAGCCAATGTAAGCTATCTTACTGATTTCTGGTTCATTAAGTCAGGTATCAAGAATCAAAGCATATAGCTTAAGAACTATAAGGCTATGCATCTAAATAATATGATTATGGATTCTACCAAAAATTATACGATTATGGATCTAGCAGCAGAAACGAGCAACACCCCATTTGAGTTACAATAAAGAACTTGTGTTCTATGTTCCTAACTCCAAATAAATTCTTGCATGTCATGTATGTAAGGAATCATGCGTTCAGTGATCAGCAATGTGTAACACTAAATTATAGGGTTCCTTGTCTCAATTATGAGGTATTCAGAACTGAGGTGCAATGGTCCCTGAAGGATAAAGGAACCATAATATAATCAGTGCAGGTTTTGTTGAAAAGAAGTCCTTCAAAAAGAGGAAAGCCAAAGGTAATAGAGACTCTAGGTATATGGTTCTGTCGGGATTGATTTTCCCCCTTTTACGGTGGGTGCGGTTTTTGTTTTGTCAAATGAGTGGAGGGGGCATGGGGATCTTTTCAGGCCCTTTATGCTTTTTGGACGCTCTTTAATGCCAAACTAACAGGAAAACATGGCAAACACTTCACTAGGAAAGTCAAAAATCGTGAGGAGCTACCATAATAAAAGATAAATAGTTCAACAACTTTGATAGTGAACACCCTATAGTTGGAGCTCAAATGACCATTATCCTCATAGATTTCCTTCAGAAAGAGGACAGGCAAAGGTAAAATTCGAGATATATCTTTTTTCCCCCGTGGAATGATTCAAGATATATCTCCTGGCATCAGCAGGCTCAAGTTTACCTCTACAAACTTTGCAACATGCAAAAAGTGCAGGAGCCCAGTGGAAACTGGTAGACAGCACAAACTAAGAGCAACTTTTGTGATATGCAATCCTATAATAAAGATTTATCTTCCAACCACCTAAACACTGCCACTAAAAGAAGAGTTGATATAATGCTCGCCCTCAATCAGAACTGATCATGCATATGAAGAAACTTTGATAGCTAACTCAGTTTCTCAGTTTTTCCATTTCTCCATTTCTTAAAAACATACATTATCCAATGCACTGATGTATGAGGATAGCAGAGTACAGGGCAAGTGCTCTAGAAATTACCTGAAAAAGTGTGTTGTGCTCCGGAACTACATTCTTCTTCTCTAAAACCAGGACAGGCCTTCCGACAACATCAAGATATGAGTACTTTGTCTGCACATACTCACATTTCAAAAGCATTAGTCTATAGAGTAAATACTTTAAGGTCTACAAATCCATTAACAATCTTTTTCGTTTTTTCGCATGAGGATTTTACCAGATTTTTCAGCCCCAAAATTGTTTGCCGCACATTGGGAAAACATAAAATTGCCGGAAATTCGAAAAATGATGACATAAATGTTGAACTATTGTTTGGCTCAACTGTATCCCAGTTTTGCTGAGGGAGCAACTCCCTTTTTCACCTTGAATTGGTCAAAATATTCGGAATTTCTTACTTTTCGTGGAGGATTAGATCCAGTAACTGGGGGTCTATGGCTAACCGATATTGCACACCATCATTTAGCTATTGCAATTCTTTTCCTTATTGCAGGTCACATGTATAGGACTAACTGGGGCATTGGTCACGGTATAAAAGATATTTTAGAGTCTCATAAAGGTCCATTTACAGGCCAGGGCCATAAAGGCCTATATGAGATCCTAACAACGTCATGGCATGCTCAATTATCTCTTAACCTAGCTATGTTAGGTTCTTTAACCATTGTTGTAGCTCACCATATGTATTCCATGCCCCCTTATCCATATCTAGCTACTGACTATGGTACACAACTGTCATTGTTCACGCATCACATGTGGATTGGTGGATTTCTCATAGTTGGTGCTGCTGCGCATGCAGCCATTTTTATGGTAAGAGACTATGTTTACTTCCATTGTAAGAAAGAATTTAATGCAATTGAAAACAAAGTTATCTCGAATGGGAGAAAGAGATGAATAGCAGTTGCATTTAATTTAGGACCCCAAGAAAAAGCAAAGGGAAAGAATTTGTAACTTCTTACCTCCATATGTTGCTCTACTGGAAAAGGAACGACAGCAGAAGGATCTTTGGATCCCTCTGGCAACACAACCTGAAATAAATGGTCATGGATCAGCAACACACATAACACAGTAGCATAAAAATGGATTCATGAGAAAAAGAAATGATAAACTCACCTTCACAGTTAACTTGTCCACAACAGTCCCAGAAAGAGGGCAGCCAAAGGTAAAGTTGAGATATCTCTTGCCATCAGTGGACTCAAAGAGGAAATCTTCCAACGGAAGGCCATATCCAATCACAAATGTGGATTTCCATCCCCCAAACAATGGATACCGAGGTTCAATTTCAAGTTCGGACTGTTAACAGTATTCAGCCAAGTAGACATGCAGATCAGAAGTCAGACTACACTAAAAAACACAAAGCCACATACTAGGAAAAAAGAAGAAGGCAGTGATCACTACAGGTTGGTCACTTTGGTTTGCAGGAATAGAGATATGATACCTTGCGAGAATCTGTACGAAGGCGTGAGGATGAAATGTTTCCTATTTCATCTCGATAATATACGGAGTGCACCCTAGCCGGCAGTCTTGCTAGAAGGTTCTTGAATGAAGATACACCACTAGCACCTGGCCTAGATTGATAATCAACCCTGCGAAACAATGAAGACCTCATTCAGAATCACACATTAAAATCATCTAAAAGTGAGCTAAACAATCTATGTCCAGTCAGATGGAAGAAATGGAGAAAGAAAGACATGCAAATGCCAAATCAGACTGAACATTCCATGCACATGCTATTAGCTACTTTTGGGGAGCTATGCATAGGGTGCCCATTGGTGAAACAAGAAAAGAGCATGTGAAAATAGAAGATAGGCACTCTGCAGATGCAAACTAGATTTGTTCCTCTGAATAGGCAAATAACTTTAACATGTTGATTTCAAATTCTAAAGAAATTTGTGGTTGGTTAAAAAATAGTGCTTATGTACTAATAAGTCAGAATGAAGTAATAAGAAACAGAAAACAGATTGGAAGGCCTGATATGAGCTCATGGAATGCGGGAACGACCCTTACCTAGAAAACACGCCTTTAAGTTTAGCGCCACCATGAGCTAATGTATAGTGTTCAGTTATCTGAAGGTTTCCCCAATGTGAGATTTCCACTTCACGAACAAGCTCCTCAACAACAGCAAATGGGTTGTTATTCTCAAAATGAACGAGAACTGGAGAGAACGAGTATGCAGGGCGATCTTCATAGGGTCCATATTTGAGTTCCATACCAGCTCTATTAGTTGGTTCCACTCTAGAGAATGATAGCACATTTGTGCTTGGTGTCTTGATGAAAGTTGTCTGCTGCTTAATACGATACGGTGACAGTATATATGCACTATCGCGATAGTATACCAACTGTGGTTCTGATTGACTTATCTCCGCAGGGAAAGGTTCCATAGAATGGGTCAACATATACAGAACTTCAATGGTTGATGTTTCACCTGGGCTTAGAGGATTAAGCAACGCTATTCGGAAACACTTAGCGCCTTTTGGTGCGTCAGGTACATCTGTTGGCTTTACATCGAGAGGAACATGTGTTTTCTTCCTTTTCTTTCCCGAGGCCGCTTGTGCCTTCACTTCAGCCAGATGGTCGGCCTCAGTGGGAGGAAATGAAAGAAGAACCTCAGAAGCAGCAGCCTTTCCGGTGTTCTCAACCTGAGAGAGTTCACTAGAGCTCAGTCGCTTTTTGTTCGATTCAAATTCACAGCAGATACTAGGAAAAGTTAAAATGATCATACCTTAAGAGTCAAGAATACGATGGCAATCTGTGAACTCAAGTCAATCTGCACCAATTATTACCACATTGGGAAGAAGAAAAAAACCGGGTAAGGATCAGTCTAATCGTGTTCTTCTCAACCCAATTGAAGAAAAGGGTAAACAAACATGAACATTGAAAATGGAAACTAATTTTAGCAATGTCTCTCGCTAACCGATGGACGAAGCCCCATTTGGAGACATCAAAAACAAAATCGCAATTCGACAATCTTCCATGGGGATGGAACGCCGCAAGGGCGTTAACCAGAACCGATCAACAATAAAAGTGATGAATTTCAAACTAGGACGGCATTTCGAAGGAGGAAAAAACACGGTCTCAGAGAATCGGCATGCTTACCCGACGCTCGGCATTGAGAATTTGGATCTCCTGCGCGGCGGAGGATGAGACGGCAAGAAGTGAGAGAAATGCGAAGATCAAGAGGGCCGCAGTTCGCTGTGCTCTGAGTGAAGCCTCCATAGAAGCTGCTCCTAGCTGATCGGAGGCTTAGGGGGCCGGGGGAGTTTCAGGCTGCAAGACTTTGAAGTCACCGGAAAGCAATAGCCGTATCAACTAGCATCAGTCGGACAGTCGGGACTCGTAAGAAGTAGACCGAGCTGGTGGAGACTGGAGACTGGAGAGAGAGTTAATAAAACGCTGGCGGAGATGACACTTCATTTGGACATGCCGGCCCAATATCTCATCCATAAGTTAAACTAGTATGGGCTTTTGGCCCAATTCTGGCTTGATTGATTTGAGCCCATCTTCCTTGGTCCAATGTAGACATGTGCGAGTACCGGTATTTGAGATACACCGTACCGTAGACCGTAGTTGTCGCCTGTTTTAGTTTGTTGGTTTGTGGAGCTGTTGGCAAACGTTTATATATTAGATATATAATTTATAGGGAATTAATTTGATATTTTATATAATAAAGCACTATGTGATATTTGGTGATTTTCACCTCTATGTGAGACACAACAAACCATTTTAATATGGGTAAAGTCATTGTTTTGGTTTGTGCTTAATCCGTTGTAGTACTTAATTAATTAATTGGTTCGCTAATGACTGAAGTAATCGTTTGAACCAGAATAGTGACGAAACAAACGCACTCGAAATGTGGATAAAATACGACAAATTCTAAATACAAACAAAAGACGAGATTAATTACTAGCACATAGACCATTTAACATAAAGTTAATTATTAGGTCCAAAAAGTCGTGGACCGGAACCACACGGCACGACTATGCTACTTATTCATTACTTCATCCCCTCCCTCCCTAGCTCGACCATTCCACTAATTCTTTTTTTTTTTTTTTTTACCGCCGTCTAGCCAGGTGTAGCAAGCCAGCTAGACGTTATGGTATACATGCATGCATGCAAGCCAGGTACGTAGGTTAATTAGAAGTCGGTGTAGTAGCGGCCGCCGGGCTGGGCCTTGAACTGGCACCTTGAAGGCGAAGACACGCCGCACTCCCCGGGAAGGCTCTGAGCGATCTGCCAGGCCGCCTGCGTCGAGGAGGGGCCCCTGATCTCGCCGCGACGCTCCGTCATCATCTGCCCCACGGCGGCCTCGATGCCCATGCAGGTGCACTGCGGGTCCATCTGCCTCAGCGCGCTGCAGCACGCGGTGAAGGGGTCCTGCTGCGGGTCCACGCGCCGCCGACCGCCTCTCCACCCGCTGCCGCCGCGCTGGGCCTCCTGCATCATGTAGTCCTGGCACCGCCTCAGGTTGCCCTGCCTCTGCAGCTGGGACCAGCAGCTTCCGGGTTGTTCTCGGCCTCTCCCGCCGCGGCCCTGGTTGACGTCCTCGTCATCGATGATCACGGTGGCGCGGAGGGAGGCTTCGGATACTGCGGCGAGCAGGAGGAGGAGCGCCGCCGCCAGGGAAAGGCTCGTAATTAGGGTTGCCATTATTTGGTGATCGATTCTGCAGTGAGGATGCTTTGATGGTTGCTGGAGGTGATGGTTGGGGAGCATGGGTTCGTTGTTATATATAGAACGGAGGGTGGAGAACTGAAGGGTTTTGCATGGAGAGAACGTGTTGGTTGAAGGAGGACACGTTAGGTTTTGTGGGCTTACACGTAGTATTGGACATGCAGATGAAGCCACTTCAGTTACTCTGTTTAGCTGTTGTTGGTGCTTTCGCTGTCGTTGCTACTCGATGAAAGAGTTGAATTGTTAACAAGTTCTTACTTTCTCGTAATTTTTTGTAACCCAGACTCCCTAAGCATAAGATGTCGTATTGAGTGGTTCAAAATGTGAAATAAAATAGACAATTATTGCATCGGGATTTCCAAACTAGCTAGCATGCATGTTAATTAACATATAGGGGTCGTTTGGAAGTTGTGATAGTTTTGTTGAGATTGTCATTATGAATGTATTGTTTACAATGCATCGTTTTTTTATTTTTTTAGCAGAAACAATACATGGATTGTTTCTGTGATGTGACAAAAACTATCACTCATTTTGAGTGATTGTTATATCTCAACTAAAAGTTGTGATTGTTGAGATAGTTGAGTTGAGATTGTTTTGTCTCAGCTTTTAGCTTATGCGACATACACAATCACACATACCAAACGTTGTATTCTACAATGCATCAAATTAGACAATACATGTATAATATTATACATGCATTCTCAATAATACATCTATTTAACAATCGCAACTTCCAAACGACCCCATAATTACCAGATCATATAGAATACGTTCTGTTAAGAAGGATTGAGTCCTAATAAATCGAGTGTGTGAAAGGTTCGATTATGAATTCTATGATATATATTAAAATTCCACTCAAATCAAAGCTAACTTAGGGGTCATTTGGTAGTTGTGATTGTTAGACTTGTGTTTATTGAATACATGCATTGTGCACAATACAATGTTTGGAAGTACCAAAGTGTAAAACAATGTATGTATTGTTTTAGGTAGGTCCCACCAACAATCACAAAAAATGATGCATTATACAATCTCAACTAAAAGTTGAGATTGTTATGATTGATTATTTTAGATTTGTGTCCACTTTTTCTTTCCATCTATATCCTTATTAGTTTTTGTCTTGTGCTAAAAGTTGAGGGTAAATGTGAATACTGTGTGCTTAACCGAACAAATGTGGTCATCCAAAATTTAAACAAAAAATGCTCGATCACATAAAGCTCTGATACTATGTCAAGAGCTAGTTCATCCAAATAACTCAAGTTGTTGGAAAATGTTCAATCAGGATCGAAGCTAGAATTTTGAATAAGGGTGGTTGATTTGAATTGTCATAATTGGGTGATAGGGGCTAAAAGTAGGGATGACAATTTCGACATGACCCGATTTACCCCACCTGTTTGATCTGTTTTGGGGCGGGGCGGGGTAGGCATGGGTATTCTTATCAACTCCACCTACCCTGACCTGCCTCATTGTCCACCCATTCTTGCCTAAATTACATGTAATATTAGTCAAATTATTTAGAATTTTCCTTTTATTACATCATATTATATTTTAGCTATTATAAAGTTGTGAAATAGTGAAAACCTCAATTTCTCCAATAACTTAACTACATTGTATCATATTATGATTTGTTTATAGGTTTTGTAATGAAAATAACGAATATTTCTAATGCTTTCCATATAATAACATACTCACTGGATCGGGCTCAAGTTAGGGTGCATAACCATGGATTATGAACCCATCAATAACCAAATCTGGACCATTCATTTAGAAAATTCAGATCTAAGGATGGAGAATTAAAGACCATTTTTATTTTCACTAGTTTTCTTAATTGACTCATATCTTTTTCGTTTTAACTCGGATTTTTTTTTTTTTTGCACAGATGGAACGAGTTCATTGTGCTCTACAAAATGAGATCAATTTTCAATATTTTTTGAGGAAAAAAAATTCTGGCCTCTCGGTACCAACTGCATACCATATGGTATCTTCTTCCTTTTTAATTCGTTTTTGAAAACGTTTGCACAGCAGGGACGAGTTCATCATGATCTATTGGATCTACAAATTTCTAGGTGAACAAATTACAAGACAAAAAAATACCACACAATACCATACAATACCACCCTGGTACGGGATGGTATCTTATGGTATCTTGTGGTATACAATGTTAAAAGTTGTAAATGACAATTAATATATTTCTACTATCATGTATTCAATCATCCTACAGTTTTTGTTTGTGTAATACCACCATGGTACGCTTTTCAAACCATAGGTATGCTCTTATTTCAATACCAGTAAATATCATATGGTATAGACTGATATAAAATGGCTCAATTTTTTTTTGTTCGAAAAATATATCAAAGTGGATATCATTTTGAAGAGCACAATTAATCTGATCTAACTGTGCAAAAAAATTAAATTTCGACTTAAAACGAGTGAGAAATCGTTCGTCAAAGATTAAGGAGGGGAAAATTAAAGGCTTTCAAGGAGAGAGAGGATGCTGATATCATGCTGATGTGGGCAGGTTACTCATAGTTACTCACCATAAGGTTACTGACCTGATCCATTCCCACTGGATCGACCTGACCCGACCTACGCCATGTGATCAATTACCCAACCTGCCACGGGGGCGGGTATGGGTATCGAGATACCCGCCCCAGACCTGACTCGTTGTCATTCATAACTAAAAGCCTTACCGACTATTCTCATTCCTAAATTTACCTATATTTCAAAGTTGAGATGAGATGAGCCGCAGCTCTTTCTATCTTCAACCTAGCTTCAGTAGATTCTAACTAACTTGATGAGTCCTTTTTAACCATGCTCAAACCGAATTCTAAACCAAGACGGTAAAGGGTTTATGTTGTCATTTTTAAAATTAATTTTTGTGAATTGGAACACTATTATATAGGGTTATAATAACCTTATAGGTATAATATGCCCCTCTATTATGTCGTTTTATCAAACACGCCCATCTACTATTTTTTACATCAAACATGCCCCTATACTTTGGAAAAATGACCAAACATGTCCTTCTGTTGAAATTTTCATCCAAAAATCATCAACCATGGTGGAACCTTGATTTGGGCGGCATAAATGTCTAAAATATCCTTGATAATTTCACTTTAGAATTGCTTGGATTATTTTTAGTGCCAAATACCTCTAATAATTTCACTTTAACAAGACCTAGAGAAATAATTCGAGGAAAAAAACTGACATTTTTCATCCCATTTACCGATGTGGGTCGTCTAAATCTAGGTTTAACCATTGTTGAAATTTTTTTTAATGGAAATGTAAAGAGAAGAGCATGTTTGATCATTTTTCTAAAGTACAAAAACATATTTGATGAAAAAATAGTAAAGAGACATGTTTAATAGAACGGCATAGCAAACATATTATACCGATAACCTATGGACAATGCATAGAAAAAACCTCACTGGATGATAATTAAGTTTGCTTCAAGGATTTGGTACCAAAAAACCAACTATCAAGGATTTAGGTACAATCCGTTGTTTGCTTGCACCTTTTTTGGAGACCAAATCCGTGGGCCCCACGGATTTTAAGGGTCCAAATCCGTGGACCCCACGGACTTATAAATCCCACATGTTGATGTGGGATTTGGAATATGACATAAATTCTTGATGAGATTTTACCCATATACCCTCATGCACTTTTAATATTCCAAGGTTGCCCTAAAATTTAACTATTATACATTATAATTAACAATAAATGAATAATATAAACGTTCAATTAATGTGCAAACATTGAGTTATATTTTTTATATCATTTCTTGTGTTCTAGTTTTCTTTGACCTTTTCATGGAACGTGTAATTATTTGTTCTCTCGATTCTAATATATGTTGTTATATGTTACTTTTGAAAAGGAGGACAAAGAATTGGTAATTGATTATGTTACGTTAAAAGTTAAAACGGAATTTTCTCGTTTATTATTATTGTCCATGTGGCAACATTATGCTTATTAGTATGTATTGTCCTTGTTTTGTGTACATATCATAAACATGTCAAACATATAGAAAATGATAGTAAGGTAATTTTGAAGTTTTGTCATTGTTTTGTGTACATATCATAAACATGTCAAACATATAGAAAAGGGCAGTAATGTAATTTTTGACTTCAAGTAGTAAATCCCACACCTTTAAATCCATGATAAAAACATCCCAACAAACAAAGGATTGTTACAAATCCATGATGCCTCAAATCCTTGATAAATCCTTGGATTTTTAAATTACAAAACCCTCATTTTTAAATCCTTGAAGCAAACCACCCCTAAGTAAGTTATTCCAAATTTGAGCGAAAATTCCTAAAGTTCCATTTAGCTACTCCTCCGTCTTTCTGCTGCCCTTATTCTTTGCCGGCCTCTCTCCTTCTCTCTCTCGGTGGTCGGTGCTATATCTCTTCTTCAACGCCGGCAAATCTAAAAGCGAAGGCCAAAGACCTTGGAATTGTTGGGGTACATCAAAACCCGAAAAGTTAAAGCTGTCATCTCAATCGACCAGGTACCTCTCTGCTCCTGCTCTGCCTTTGTTTCTAAAACTTGTTTCAAATACAATACCTTTTCACCGTCGCCGGCGGCCACTCCTACCTTTTTTCATAGGGTGGTTGGATATCATTAGTTTTTTTTATTCTGTGCAGGGCTGCTTTTCATGTTGTAATTAGGAAAAGATGACAACGGTAGAATCTGGCACGAGTCGCCCTCGTAAAACATCGCACGGTGGTATTCCTTCCGCCGCCGATGCAACAGCTAAAGTTCATCAGAGCGCAATTGGGTCGTTCAAAAGATGGGGCAGGAGGCATCCATTTGTGAGATATGGGCTTCCCATGATTTCCCTCACAGTGTTCGGTGCTCTTGGCCTTGGTCATCTCTTGCAGGGCAGGTTAGTGCCTTCTGATTCATATCCCTCGCCCTTCAAATGAATTCCTGATTGATTGTTAGATGAAAGAACAGAACTTCATGTATCAGTGAACTTATCAACATAGAGCTTGTAAGGTGAATTTAGGACTTAGGAATCGAATTGATTTTGCTGATTTCCCACGGAACCGTAGCTAGCTAGCCCATCAAGTTAGGGAGACTATCAGACTAATGAGAATAAGCGATTTTCATGAGACAAGGTAGTGTATTTTTACAGTTTAGACTTTAGAGGAGGAAACTCTTAGATGACTCTGGAAGTGGCTGTATCTGTAGAAGAGTAGTACCTTTTCCTTCCACCAAGGTTAGGGTTATCCATCAAGTACTATTTTAAGCATCGTAGTGTGTAATTGTTAAAGTGTGATTGGGATTCCATAGTTCTTGTGAAAGCAGTAAGAGTGCATATGAAGGGGGGATGCCTAGTGGAGAGTAACCAGACCCAATCTTTGTCAGCCTACCGATACTACTGCCTGTGTCTTTCGTGTTGGGCATATAGGTTGGTCATAAAGAATTTCCTCTGGGTAGCCATTTTCAGAAGAAACTTTGATTTTTCCCCCCATAAGTTAAAGGTTATTGTAGCAGAGCGCGATTATAGAAGAGGTTGCTCCTTGGTTAGTTGAAAACGATGTGTGTCTCTTCCCTCTCCATGACTCTTTCTTGATTGATAACAAGTAGATTAATGGTTAAATGTGTGTGGAGATGTATGGAAGACAGATGGTCTTCAGCTTTATGCTTGTTTCTTTTCTGTCCTCTCTGTAGCACAGCATCCTGTTTGAGCATCTCATCCATTCCCTTGCAGTTCTAGAAACAGAATTCTTTTATTAGTTTGTAGCATCTTAATTCATTGAGAACCTTGCCTGCACAAGATGCATAGTGTACACCAGTTGTGAGATTACTAAGGCAATGTCTATTTAAGCTCTAACTTCCAATTATAAAGAGCTGGAACTTTAAAAGTAGGAGAAAACATAGAAGAAAGATAGCGTGTTCTTAAAAAAAAAAGCATTGACAATTTGAAGCAGAACGAGCAAAAATGCGAAAGATTGCCATTGTGAAAGCAAAGATACTACGTGTCTACGTATGCAGAACTAAATTACCCCTTAGGCCTGGTGATATCATCTGCCTTGGGAATTAGCTCTTCTGAAGTCATTTTGCACTAGCAATTGCTATCGGTCTTCATGAAATTTGTCATGTTGTTCTCAAAAGTGGCAGTTTCTGTAGTTCAGCAAGGATATTGCTAAAGTAAAAGACGATCAAGAATGGGAGATCATTGAGACTAGGAAGGCACTATCAAGAACGGGTCCTGTCAATGCTTATAACCCCAAAAAGATTTCTTTGGAGCAGGAGCTACAGGTATTCCATATTCCGGCCTTTGGTTTTCAACTGCGCCATAAACACATAGGGGACTCATAGTTCGAATTACTTTTTTCTCCTTTCCGATACCTTTCACAGGCTGTCCAACAGAAAGTGAACATAGATGACTACGAGTACAAAAGAATTCCAAAGCCAGATGAAGGCAGATCAGGCTAGCCTGAAGCTTTTCTACCCTGTGTCAGCCTCGCAAAGCAGTGGGACTTCGGACATTGTTCTGGATCCAGGTCCTTTGCACTTGCTGTTTGACTTGAGAGTGAAATTAAGGGATCCAACATCAAAATTTTGGCTCTGAGTGTTGTTAATTAGCTGCTTCTAGTGAAATGATTTATAGCTTCACCGGTCTGAAGATTTTTAGCAGGTTGGTTGAATCGTAGGTTGAACTAAATTGAAGCTTTGGCAGTTGTTCAGCAGTTTTTCTTGGAGCAATACTGGCAAATACTAAGTGCTTTATTTTTTTGTGTTATCTTGTCATGTGTGCTGAACCTCTGCCTGGACCATATGAGGCATTAGGCACTGAGGCTCCAAATCACATACTGAACAATGTTAAAATGCCAGATTTAACAGCAAGAACAAACAAAACAATTGAGAGGTTTTAAACTTATATATAATTCAGGTGAAAAGATTCACCTACACCATTCTCCTCAATTACAGGCTTTTTTATACCTCCAATTCTTCTGCCCCCGCCATTACTCTCCTATTTACACCCCCCAACAACAAACATCAAAAAGTCATAAAAAACCCTAACCCTGCTCTTCCCCTTTCCTTCTCCCCAACCCCCATCTCATATACTTTCTTTGCCACTCTTCCCAGTCGTTATTCATTTACACAAAATGAGCAACTAAACCCAAAAATTCAGAAATGAAAGAAAAGAAGACCCAACTCAGACTTTCTACCAATGGTATTCCAAACAAAATGTAGAAAGCCACATTTAGGCATTGCAAGAGTGGCTCGTACTAATGAAGCCCTGACCCATCACCTTGGTTTTGGTTGTGACCCAATTGACCATAACGGTTGGACGAGCCTCTGAGTAGGGCTCCCCATAAACGTTGCCCGAGATCGAGTCAGCATCTCTGTCATCGAAGGTGTTTGATATGACTGAGCAAGGCTTGATCCGCCGCCTGTTGAGTCTCCCCTCGCTGTTGCTCTTTGCCACGAATGTGAGCTCAGCCCCGACAGTATGTATGCTCTACCTGAGGACTCGTACACATTCCTACTCGCCATCCTCTCTTGCATCTCCTTCATCTCGGCATCTAGTGCAACACACAACCGGTCATTCGATCTGCCCGACATGGTTTCCCACAGCTCCTTCCGACAATTCTCAAGGATGGAAGCTGCACCAGTTAGGTTCCCTTGCTCAGCTGCAGTTCTTGCCTGTGACATTGCCTCTGCCGCCTTCAACCTATTACGCTGCCTGTCCACTTCTACTGAAACTGCTAATTCCTCAGCTACTTCAGGTCTCTGGAGTATAATTTCTTCACTTTCCACTATGCCCATTTCTTTAGTTAGTGGGTCCCTGAAGGCGCATTTCACTGTGAGCAATGATGTTGAACCTTTTGAAGGTTCTGCTGGTGGAACATTGAGTGAAATGAGAAAATTCCTCTCTTCGTCTGCATACAAATCTCCAACATCAATGAACCCCATACGTCCATCAGCTGATATCCGACTTGGGTAACTTCCAGCTTTCAACGACCGCAAGTTGATGCTAGGGTTCGCACATTCAACACCCACCTGCAGCTCCTGCACCACAACACTCAAGAGGCCTCCAATACACTGTGCGAAAGCATCCTGGATAATGGCTTCCGTCTCAATAAAGGAAAATGTACCACCCGAAATTTCAGAAATCGAATGCATCGATGAAGCATCGTGATCCGCTCCAAACCCAAATGCATGCACTGGAATCTTCAATCCCGCGGTCCCACCACCACCATCAATAGTAGAAAGAGGAAGTAGCAATTGGTAATTCGGTTGTTCAGGATGCTGGTTAGTACCACTACTGACGGTATAAGTATCCTGTCCATCAGACAACAATATTATGCTTGAAACTGAATTCTTATCCTTCCTTTCTTCCATCACTTTGGCTCCCTTTCTCAGGCCTTCGGCTATATTGGTCCCACCATTGGCTATCAACGAGTTGACAGCTTGAAGCGCCTGCTGCCGGCCTGCATCAGACATTCGCCTCAAGGAGAAGAGGCGTCGAGCTGTGGATGAGAAGGCAATAACAGAGAGCCGGTCATTGGAGCCAAGGTTCTGTATCACAAATCCCATAGCACGTTTTAGCAATGCCAGCTTTGTTCCTGCCATGCTACCACTGATGTCGAGAACTGTGACCAGGTCAACTGGAGCTCGAGGAGTTTGAGAAAGTTGAGGAAAGCTGCTAGTCTGGTTTCTTATCATGGCAGCAACAGCAGCAGCTTTAAGATTGACAAGGACAGTGAAGTTCTCATAAGAATTGGAACGTGATGCTGCTGTAACTTCAGGATGTACATTGATGTCAATTGCTCTACCAGAACTGCAACCGGCACCATTTTCATATCCTGGCTGGATGTCCAAAGTTTCATCGTCGTTAAATACGACAGGTTCGGCAACCTGAAGTAATGGTACAATGTGCCTTCTACTCGGGTCCCTACGAGGGGGAGGTAAGCGACGCACCACAGTCATCAAAGCATCATTGTTAGGCCAGCCTACAGCATTGATTGAGACAGCTCTCCCAAGCGGAGGATCTAAATCGGGAGCCTGCAAGGGTATTTCTTTCCATTTTGCTCTGCAGACGGGACAAATCTGATTGCCGTGCTTCACATTGGAAACAATGCAATGGAAATGGAACGAATGTGAGCACTCCGCTGTGAAAATCGCATGGCCACCTCCTTGTTTCATCTTGGTCAGGCAGATTGAGCAGATTTGCTGAAATCATGGAGTCAAAACAAAGCAGAAAAGGGATAAGTTGGATGCTATGTGGAATGTCAAAAGAGGAAGAATTATGGAATCTTTGATACTTTGATGATTAGTCTCGTCTTATTATTCAGTAACATTCAGGGTACAATAACAAAATTGCTCAGTAATGCATAGATTTCATGTTTTGGCCCATCAAGCCATCAGGAAGGCCATGGAATCATATCCAAGGCTCGGGTAAAGACTTAGACAAGGCATACTGCTGCTGTGATAGAACACGAACAACAGTAACGACCATGTAATCAGAGCTAGAAAAATGGGCACCACAAGAGAAATGTCAAGCTTAGCTGACTGTAAAAAAAAGGGAGGTTTCGAGATATCATCAGGAAACTGTTGTAAGATACAGATGAACCATAGAGAAAAGGGGGAAACAGGAGCAACTGAATGTCCAACCCGTCATCCACCAAGAAAGAGAAATGATGAGGAATTGCTTTAAGAATTATGATGTGCTTTCTTTTTCCCATCCTTTCTTTTGCTTGTTTGATGAATTTCCATACCTACAACTACAGGAGCTTGCCAACCAAACACTCAAAACAGTTCAAGCCACCATCTAATTTCTGTTTTTTCTTTTCTTGCACACTTCACTTTCAAGGTAAGGAGTGAAAGAAAGATTGATTGCCCTGTAGCTTTCTTGTAACTGTTGGGGCAAATGAAAATGGCACAGAAAGGGACCTAGGTGACTTACTCAAAGAGAACATGACATCACCCTAGCCAAGTAAAACCAAATAATTTCTCAGTCAGTCATCCTCCTTATACTACCAAAAATGGATTAACCACCAAATTTTCAATGATTTCTCATCCTTTCTATAATTTCCAGGGAGGGAGGAGACTCAAAAGTGCAAAACATATCTCCACCAAATAAGATTAGATGAACTCATATCAACTTGATGTCCCTATCTCATGTTGCTGATAGGGCATACATTGCCCCTTTTGAAATTGGGTCCTAAGACCAGACTAGATAGCGGATAATCCTCTATTCCTCTACCATTACACCTGTCTATGTCGTCATAGTAAAAAAAAAAAATTACAAGTGAAGCAATGCTTTTTTCAGTGGAAACTTTATGGCCATTTGAAAATGATGTTTGGCAAGAAAATTATTAGGCAGAATCATGTGGATTCTCATTTTCCCAAGCCCAAACTCAGTAAAAGGAAGATCCGAAGATGCTTTATTCAATCAATCACCAAATATACAGCATAGAGGCTACTGTGATTTACTGGGTCTCATCAGAGCACAAAGCATTCATTATTACTGAATTAAAATCGTTCAACCAGAAGGGTAAAAAAAATAAGAAAATGATAGAACTTGGAGCCTCCTGAGTCCTGACCCTGGAAATGATCTACAATCACAACAATTCCTAATTAAAAATTTTTCCTCACCACCCAAACAAGTCTTATGAAGACCCAATCAGACACTAGAGAAAAGAACCAAAGGCAACATAAACATGCAGCAGCACAAAATCCCAGCAGCTGAGAAAAATAGCAAAAACCCAGAACATATGAACAGATTGAGGACAAAGAAAGAGTAAAGTAAAGAAAATCAAACCTTAGAAGACTTGCTCCCAGTTCTGGGCAGCTTCAAACCATGAGAAGATGGAACTGGAGTCATTGGCCTAACATCCCAACTTGTAGGCGAAAGCAGAGCAACATCTGATACCCTCTCCGTTGAAGTTGCTGCTGGCGAGTCGTCGTCCAGCGTCCTTGGCACGTACACACAAAGATTCAGACCCAAAGCCAGCTTTGCTTTTCTCCATCTACTACTCCCCATTTCTTATTTTTTTTTCTATTTTGGCTGTGGTTTCTTGTCACTCGACTTAAGTAATAGTGACAAAGATTCGTTCTTTCAGGGATTCAAGAACCGCAGAAGGGATACCCAGAAAAACCCCTCAATTTTAACAATCAACTCGGACAAAAGATTCAAGAACATAAAAAAGTAAGCGGAGGTGAAGGAAAACAGAGAGAGGTGGGAGGGCGAAGACCAAGAAAAGTAAAGAAACAGATCTCAAAGTGCTGCTTTTTGATAGGAGTCAAGCTGCTTTCTCTCCAATATTTGTAAATAATATTGATCTGTGTCCTTCTTGGAATGTGAGAGATGAGAGAGAGATAATGGAGAGTAATGGACTAACTAATGGGGTTCTTGAGGCAAAAAAGTCGAAATGGGCACACACACGAAACCCCAAAAAAGAGAGTGTAGAGGTTGAAAAAAGGGTAAGTAATAAGCTGGGGAGTTACGGGTTTATTGTAACTTGGCCAAAATGAGCATCAAAATGAGAGCTTGTGATAAAAGAGAGGCCAACCCAAGTTCAACAAAAGAAGCAGGGGAGGTTTGTCAAAGAAGGGAAACAGAGGAGGCTACTGCTGAGAGTGAGAAAGATTTGATGAGGAAGAAGAAGAAGAAGCTTAGAAGATGGCGGGTTGAGATTTCTGAAGTTGTAGTTGTCTGTGTCTCGTTGTTTAGGGAGTTGAGCTTGACCGCCATTGAATAGAATAGAAGGAGAGTCAGAGATAGATTTGATTTTTTAAGAATTGCTGATTTTGACCTTGCGCCTCTGTTTTTGTAGCTGTTTGTTTGGGTCGTGGTGGGCGAGAGAGAGGGAGAAGGTGGGTGGTGGTGTGGTTTATTGAGAGTCGTAAAAGGTTGGAGACGACAACAAGGACAGCAATTGGATCCATTCTCTTATCTTTCTTTTCCCCCCTGCGGCCTGCCTTTGAAATTTTACGTTTTTTCAACTCATATGATAAAAGTAGTAAAGTATACGTTTTTAAGGGTCCATTGGCTTCCTCCATAACAATAATAAGTTGCTAAATGTTTATGTATGCCGAGTTTCGCTTTAGGGTCAACCCAACTTTGCTTCATCCAATATAATTCAGCCTCCATTGATCTTCAATTTGCTAGAGGTTTTGGGTCAAGCCAACTCATAAGTGGCCTCTAGCAATCCTCTTATATTTTCTGTGACTATAGTCATACATATGTGTCTCTTCGTCGATGATATCAATGTATGATCCAAACCATGAAATAACGTGTGTTTTATACGGTACACAAAGTTGTTCAATACTAGAAAGGGGTATGTTCAAAGCAAGCGAAATGAATCAAATATTTGACTTGTGTGCACTGTGCAGCTACCCATTTCATGTACAATTCACCGAATGGCCAAAAGTTATGAATCCCATAAAGGAGGATTGATTGTATCTTACATAACTAAATGCATGTCAGGCTTCGCATCGATATCCATTAATAGATCTATTTGTGATACATATCATCAGCCACGAAGCATGTATGGTAGTGAGAAGTCTGGATTTCTAACCTATGCCTACTATGTTATCAACCTTAACTGGCTGGCTGAGATGAATCGAAGTTACAATATTTCTTGAGCACAAATTTTAAGGGTTTGGTTTGGCCATAGAATGGGATTTGCAAGGGATGAATAATGATTAGGATGAATGGGTCTGGTTGGTATTAATGGGCTGGGCTGGCATGCATGCACACACTCACGTCGGTGATGATGATTAATGATGAATGATGATTTGTTGAAGGGCATGCATGGATCAAAATTGCCAAGATTTTGCTAATCATCATACGTGATGCCAATACAAATCGGATTCATGATTTATGGAGTATCCAACTCGATCAAAGCAGTGTTGATGGATTTTGGGTTGAGTGTAAGTTTTATCCGCTTTTAAAATTAACGGTCCAACTCTGTTTCCATCCGATCCATACTCAGAAACCAAAATGACGTCGTCTAGTGTATAACCTTAACAATCTGGATGATATATGGATGTTACAATATAATCCTAATAGTAAGAATTATTTATGGATGACATTAGTCTTTATGAAAATATATTTGTAGGAATTTTTTTAATATAATTTTTTATATGGGTAATAAGATATATGTTTGCTTTTTTTGTTTTGTTAAGGTGCTAGTTGAGTGATTCAAAACTTTTGATAATATTACGATGTTGGTGTTAAAAACAATCATATGAGATTTTATTCATGAATACCTGTTGGATTCTGTTGGATTTTCTCTTTCAAAATTTAGTGAATATTTTATCAATATTCTTTTCCCTGAATGCACTTGCTGGGTTAATATTAGGTTTAGAGAAACCCTACCTATTCTCATCCCTAATCATGCATCTGCCTCCTCTCTCTTCCCATATATAATATAAAATATTGTTTCATTATAAATATCATGGGAATAAATGATGGTCTTTGTTTGTAATTATCAGCTTCTTACTATTCTATATTATTATTGTTGTTGTGTTAATTTACTTTACTTTAGCCACATGGGATCATGATATGGGCAAAGCCCACACGTGCGCATCATCACGCTTTGCTTTGCTTTGCTTTGGTTGGTCATTATATGTAGAAGTCGTCTAATTAATTCCCAACCCAAGTCAAATTACTCAATAAGTAGTTGACATTTTCCATTTTCACATGGCGCTTTGCCTCATTCATTCTACATCTTCCCATTATCTCATATTTAATGGTCAAATTTTGGGGTTTTATATGAAAATTTGAATGCCTTTTATTGTTAGGGGCGTGCATCATAATGCTAGCAAATAATAGCCATCCAAAATCCAATGGTCCTTTTGATGAATTATTCAATTAACTTCTTGGCCTTGCAATTGGTCTTTTATTCATGGTTTGTATAAAATATACATAATACATCACATTTATTAATTATGTCAAAATTTACCTCAAATATATGTGATGTTAATAATTATTTTTTCAAAACTTTACAAATACAAACTGGCAATATTGCAGTTCAAATGATTAAGATACATGTTAAATTCGTATGTTTTTTTTTATATAATGTTAAACTCATATGTTGGAGATCCCACATATGAATCCATCCACTTGCAGAGTTAACTTCAATGCACCCTTTTAACTTAATAAGTTTTTTTAGCGAAAGATGTGATCAATATAATTTTAGATAAATTTAAACAAACACAACATTCAATGCAATTTTTAATTATTTTGTGAAGACTACAAATTTGAATGCAACTTCACAAGAGAGGTTCAACTAGAATGTTCAACTTCAATATTTCAATTAATAAAAAAACACTCATTCTTTTAAAGTCCTTCTTTAAAACATTTATGTATGTTTTCATTAAATTATGTGGATTGAAATAGTGGATTACCTAAATCTGAACAATGCGTCTAATGAATATTACTTTAGCAATCCCTCAATGATTACTATAAAATCATCCAAAATGAAGGATGGTACAAATAATTGATATTGTTGGACGAGGACTTAACCAATCGCTTGTAGGCGGCGAAGGACAAGTTAACACTCTTCCCTTTGACCATGCACATAATTAAATTAAAAATTTTATACTTCCACGATCATCCTATATTGCAAATGAGTCAGGACAATCTCCTATTCTAGTATCAAAATGAGCTTGACTTTATTTTGAAGTTTCACTCTCTTTCAACGGTATGACAACATTCTCAATCACTCGATTCAATCCTTACCGGAGGACTCCTTCGCTCGTAAAAAGTGATTTGCTTTTTAATTATTAAAAGTAAATTTAAAAATATCAAATACTATGAATCATTCTATCAACCAAGCGTTCGATACGTTCCTAATAACCTATAGCAATAGGTTGAACCCTCAAAACTGAAAGCGGTTGTGGTTTATAGTGGCAACTTATTATCACGATGAGCAAGAAATGGAAGACAGCATCGAGTGGAGTTCCCCTATTCCCACTTCACTTTACCAAAAAACCAACCTTTTGTTGAAAGGGGAAAATGCCCCATCTTTTTGACAAATACCAGAAAAAGTGTTATTTATTCCCCTCCCCCACAAAACACCATGAACAAGGAACCAAAACCATACCCAACTTTGTTTCTTGCCATCTAAAATCTTCCCTGTTCCCTCCATCTCTTTCCGAAGCTCCTTGTGTTAGTACGTGATATATGATTCACTACAAAATCTCTCTCAATAATTCGTATTAGTACGTAATATATGATGATTACAGGTGAAGATTCATTATCAGATAATCAAATCTCATATCAATCCTGAGCTTTAATTAGTTGTTGGTATGGGGGATGGGATTGGATTCTCTTTTACTACTACCCTTATAAACATTTTGCCAGACTTTTTATGGGTAGCAAGTCAACGAGAAAAGCTCATCACGCCCTTTTTTTTTCAATGTTGAGAAAGCAAGAGAGCTCAAGTAGATTCTAGGAAAAGGGGGAAAAAGGGAACATCTCCATCGACTAATTAATGGTTCTTCCCACCGAGGAGGTGGTGTTGCAATGGAGTATTGAAAGAAAAGGTTAATACTAATTTTGACACCCCAGACATTTTTTCAATAAGATATTGTCCGATTTTGATTTAGATCATCATGATTTTTGTTTGGGGATACATATCAAAGTGACTTCTCATAAAGTCATTCATCCTTGTAGTGTTTCACATTTAACTTCTAAGTTCTCACAAGAACTCTTCCATTTCACCACAAAACGTATCTTGTAAATTAAAGTTGATTTCTTACTTATCAATTATTAATCTCTCTCGCGCGTGAGATTCGTGTTACCATTAATATCCCAGGTTTATCAAGACATGCATGTTTCTCAATGTTCCTTAGGCACTCCAGTAACTTTTAGTATAGGATACATTCGACAATAAAGTTCAACACACAAGCCTAAGGAAGCCCTAAATATGCAGGTCCGACTATTTTAGGTTTTTGATACCTGCCATTTATAGCCTGACCATTTTCACTGTCTTTTTCTTCACTCAAGTTTAGATTCACATCGTTCTCCATATCAATTATATTAGCTTGCTAATATTTTACACAAAGTATTGAATGGTTTCTTTCATTTGCTATATTTCTCTTGTGCTGTGACAATCTGGAGGTCTCCATGTATGAAACAAACAAAACCTGTATAGAATTTCTGTGCAGCCACCACTTCCCACATCACACTCTATCCCACTGTATCTCAACATGAACCACCCCATTCTTAGAATTGATCAGATGGTACTTCTCGTTGATCCTTCCATTGTACACAACATCATCCAGATTCACTTCCACATATCCAAGTGATTCCTGCATTCACAACAGCAAACCACCCACCGTACCATTGATCAACATCTGAAAACTAACAGTATGAATAAACAACTACATTGTCTGCATCATATATATTACCCTTGATCTGAAGCTGAAACCTGTCCTTTTGCTCAAAACCTCGATCCGGATCTTCTCTCGCAGAGGAGGCTGGTCGATCATGAACTGGAACTCCTCGTTCCAACGTGGATCGCGGGTTTTCCTGATCATCTGCAACAGAACCAACAACAATAATGTCACACACACAGCATCAGGATGTAATTGCTTTAATGTTCTTAAGTGGTGGATGTGCTTAAAAAACGTTGCATAACCTTGGTTCTTTTTCTTTCTCCCCTGAAGAGCAGGGTAGCGTAAGGGTTGTTATGGCTCTCTCCATCTACATCCTCTGCTGATTGTACTGTCACTGAAAGCAAACCTGATCCATTGAATGGATCGTCATCGTTGTCCACAAGCTCGCTTCCTTTCCCACTTCCTTTCCTGCTGCCATTTATTTGATCCAAGCGGCCTGAGATGGAACTGTCTTCCTTGAAAGGCACGAGGGTCAGCTCCACCATGATTCTGCCTCGTTGCTTCTTGTCGCGAGGATCAGATGCGTCGGTGCTCTTGAGCAAGTCCAGAGTTAGTTGCTTTGTCTCTTGTGGGGTGAGTGTTTTCAAGGGTACAACTTGCATCCCCAATGTGTCATGGCCACCAACCTAGTTAGAAGTTAGAACCATAAACAGGAAACCTATATCATGTTGCAGCAGCACAAAGACTGAATGAGATGGTTAGTTGAATTACAGTGGATGTTATAAATTGTAAAATTGTCACCACGTTAATCCAACAGCTAAGATCGCTGTCAGCCATGATAGCATTTTAGCAAAATTCTTTTTAGTTACCTTATCCCAATCATACACGTGAAGTTGAAGAAGTTGAGAACCGGGGTCCTTAACAATAAGCCTGAAGTTCTCATTCCATACTGGATTCAGATTGTGCTTCTTGATTGAGGTCTTTTTAACTGCAGGTAGATCCTCTCCACTCAAACTGAGCTTCACATAGGGATCGGAGGTTCCTATGATATCAGCCTTCATCAGTTTCATCGCCCGCACGACCTTCACATGCAGCAGCCCTACTGGCTTCTTCACAACCACTCTGAGAATGCCAAGATGAAAAAGGGTTTGGATTTGGATCAGGGTTTTCCACATAGTATGAACAAAATGGACAAACTACTTCAAAATGTAATGTTTCCACTCACGTTGAAGGATCAAGGACGGGGATTTCAAGCGTCTGGGGCCAAAGGTACATGCTTGCCACCTGCTTTTTTATGGTTTCCTGAAGGACAATCCAACAGTCAGGTGATCCAAGGTTCATGCCTTGTCTAACAAGTAACATCAACTAACGACCAGCTTCTTACAAAGCTACCCATTAAAGCATTACCAGCATAGCACCTGAACAAATCTATAAAGACCGGGTATGGACATGACATCCCCTCCAAGAATCCTCAGCCCAAAGTCTACATGAGGCTGCAAATAAGAGTTCAGCGGTCAGAAATCATCAAATGGTTAAACCAAAACCGGTTCATGTTAAAGAAAACCTCATTCAAGTTTGGAAAACCTACTCTTTCCATCAAGGAAACCACAATGTTTGCAAAACATGGGAATGTAGGTACCAGAGGCTTCAATGATATCCTTGGTGCTGCAAACACTTGCAGATCAAGCAACTGCAATAGAAGCAGCATTGTCGATTTTGATGAGCAAATTTAAGTTATGTTTTGCTTTAAGGAACTACCAAAAAAAGGATTCATATTCAGTCACTCTTGTAGGCCAGATTAGGCTTTCTTGCTGACCTGAACAGTAACGGCTAAAGACTTCAATTTCAACACCAAAGTTATGTTGGGATTGCCAGCCCACCTAACTGCTGGTTCCAGGACTAAATCATTTTGATTGGTGTCGAACACTTTGAGACCTGAAACGAAGTTTCCCAAGCAAAGCTATGTCAGGTCAGTACATTGACAATGAACTCAACTTCGATCAACCAACATTTTGGAATTACAGGTAGTAGTCAAATTAATAATCTCACCATGAAGTGTGGGAGGAAGAGTTCCAAGTGTCAGATGCTCAAACTCAATGGCTTCAATGCCATACTTCCCAATATACTCCTTGAAGATAGGTTGTGCAGTGGTTCTAATTATAGAACAAATGGCCTGCCCATGATCATACCAAACTCAGAAGGTTAAACTTGATTTGCGGCCGAAATGCATTAGTAAATTGATCACTAAGTTACAATGTGTAACCTTATCAAGGTAAGGCCACATGTCCAAGAGAAACTTGTTCAACCAGTCCACCTGCAGAAACCCCATCATGAAAGCAACAAAAACTAATCAGCCTTACCTAAATGGCTAAGAGAAATGAACTGATAACAAACTGCTAGCCATTACTCACTCGTTCATAGTCAGGACATTTCACCCATAAAGGAAGCTCAGGTAGAATGTTCTGCAAGGCCTCAGAATCCAACTCCGCAAGTGGCCTAACCACCGCATCCTGCATACCACATCACCAAGCTTACACCTTTGAGTATCACTAAGTCATTGCGTTTGCGTGCATAACTTCGATAAAGGTTGGTCGGTTGGCCTAATGGTACTGGAGAAAGATAAGATCTGCAAGACTTTGAACTCGAACCATGTCCATCAACTAAAGAAAAGGAAAAAGGATGGGTTGTTTTTTTCCTTCTCGTTCCAAATGAGCAAGAAAATGTGGTAAAGGTCCCACATTTCAGGGACTATTCGTTGCTCAATTTCGACAGATGAATATGAAGTAAAATGAGAAACGCAAACTTTGACGCGGATCATCGTGACCCATAATTAGGAAAACCGGATGATCCAAACCCCAATCAATCTAGAAACTAACACGGTGGTAAGTTGACATGAATAAACCCGCCAGAGAAACAGAGAAAATTGATGGTTTCAGGTTGAAAGTCAGTCTCAGTCACCTTCATCCATCTTTAAATGCCCTGAGATATCGTATCAAGCCATGGCAGGCCAGCTAACCGAAAACCTCTAATCGTATGGTTAAAGCAAGCAAGCAAGCATTATTCATTATCATGTGCCTGAGCTGGCTCGCCTACTCAGCAGGACACCGCATCCAATGTATGCACAAATTACTCTCCACTAATAAATGGAAGAAAATCCAGACAAAGACAGAAACTTGCAACGCCAAAATCTCTCCATTCTGGGAATCAATCTGTCAGAAACACAATTATATATGGTTTCTATTATTATATTAGGCAGGATAATTATTATTATGGTTAGTAGAGATTTAGTCCAATTAGGTTATTCGTTAGGGTTTTCCAGTATTTCCTATAAATATGTACTTTGGGTTTACGTCATAGGCAATCAAGAAGAATATTAAGCAAAGTCTCCTAAACCCTAATCTCTCCTCTCAACTCCTAATTTCTCGTCTCATCCTAGTCCAAGGCCTCGGCCGATTCCCAATTCTATTCTATCTCATCTAAATCCCTAATTCTTTCTCTCAAACCCTAAATCCCTAATTATCACGAGTGCCGAAGATCAGTATCGAGAATCCCTAGAAGCGTGGTTCTCACAATTGGTATCAGAGCCTGGTTGCAGGCACTCGTACCAGAACCATGTCGAGACTCGAAGAGCTCGCGATCAGCGAACTCACAAAGATGTTGAAGTCGAAACTGGAAGCGGTGTGGAAGAACGAGGTTACCTCATTCTCGCCGCTGTCCGGGAGTATCCCACGAGAGGCTCTATTCAAAACCACAGCCGCCGCGTCGAAAGAGCCAAGAGTGGCGGCCGAGAAGACAGCTGCAGCAGCAGTTGCTGTTCCGGTTACAGGCACCCACATCAGAATCATGTCCAGTTCTCAAAAGCACGAGTTGGAGGAAGCTGATCGAAGGCGATTCGCGGAAATAAGACAATTGCTGGCGCAGCTAGCGTCGTGCGATTGGAACGACGAGGAGGATGACTGGTTGGACGACAACAAAGACGACGATGTGGTGGCAGACGAGAAAGAAGTCGTTGATGAAGAGGAATCGGATCCGACGGAGTTCTCGCCGCCAATCACGGCAGCATCCACCACCATCTTTGACCCGCCGCAACTTTTGGTAATCACGATCGAGCAGCCGATAAAGGAAACTGCAACTGCTGCAGCAACGATGTGGCTATCCAAATCAGCAGAGGGCAAGGAGCAGCCAGCTTTGAAAGGAACTCCAACACCACCATTAGTTGCCCCTGCTGCTGTTCCAAGCAAAGAGAAGACGTTTGTCTTTGAGAGAGAACCCAAAGATGAAATTCCGGGGAGAAGAGCAACGCCAAGTCGGGTAGCAAATTGGAGATTCCGGAAGAAAGAAGAGAAGAAATGGAGAGCCGAAGAGAGAGATTGGGTGGCCGATGCGCCCCGTCTCTCTGCGAAGGATTTGAAGAAGAGGAAGCACGATGGCGGATTCCTCTATTCGCCGAGGAAGGAGAAGAAGGAGGAAGCGAGGGAAGGGTCGCCGTGCCGCCGGCGGAGTGACACGCCGCCGGGGAAGGAAGCGAAGAAGAAGGAGGCAGCGGGTTTGCAGGCGATGTTGGAGTCGGGTCGGCGGAATGGCGAGTCGCCGACGAAGAAGGTGAGCGGCGTGGCCGCGGAATCTACCCCCCGTCGCTTGACGAACTTCTCGCCGCTGAAGAGCGAGGTGAAGAGAGAGTTGGCGGAGAAGGATTCGGCCGCGACTCTCCTCGTGTCGTCGATCAACAGGGAGAGGGGTCGGAGGACGGAGGCCGAAGCGCGGCAGCAGCCTCGCCGTCGGATCATTTGCGCGTCGCCGGAGAACGAGAAGAAGGAAACGTCGCGGCAGGAGCTGCCAACGACGGGGGCGATCAGGGTGGTAAGGACGGCGGTGAGCTTGCCGCTGGAGAAGAAGCAGAGCGGCGGCGACGATAATTTTCCTCCTCTAGCAACCCTAGGTGGCGCCTCCAAGCGGATCTCCGGGTCGGGTGGGCCAAGAAGCTGGGTCTACGTAGCCCAACAGCATCAACTCTCTCGTTTAGGCCGAATGATTCGGGTCATGTGTTTAGATGGGCCATTCGAAGTGGGTCGCGCTCTGTGTGACCAGCCAAGCGAGCTGGTACTTGGATGGAGGTGGGTCGAAGAAGGCCTCAGTCCCGGGCTGGTCGTTTGGAAGAAGAATCTTGGGCTCGGATTGAGTCAAACTGAGCAGCTAAGCGGGCTTAAAAGGAGCCCACTGATTAAGTCCTTTATGTATGATTGTGGGCCGAAATTTGAAGAAGTTGAGCCCAAACTGGATTTTGTCATGAAGAAATCATATGTGGTGGAAGTTATTATGTTGGTGGATGAGCTCTACGTTGGGGCGAAGAAGAAGACACCAATGAGGTTTAATATTGATTTGGGCTCCAGTTATTTATTGCAACCAATTGTGGGCCAAGTCCAAAGAAGAAAAGATTGGCTTGTCTTCCCCATCAAGCCCATGATGGAATTTATGGATCATTCCCTTGAAGACCACAAGCTAGAGCATAAAGAAGAAGAATTCCCCAATTCATACTTTGTGGAGTTCGAGAAGGAAAAATTGTTCGGCTATGAAGAACGTGACATATGTCACGTGGGTGGAGAGTCGAGGAATGTTAGAGTTCCGCGAGGAAAGTTTATTCGAGAGATCGAGCGCAATTGGAGACGAAGAAAGCGGAAGGACAAAGAGGTAGAAGTCAACTACAACCTTGAGGTCAAGGTTGTTCTAAGGGGGATGGATTGTCAGAAACACAATTATATATGGTTTCTATTATTATATTAGGCAGGATAATTATTATTATGGTTAGTAGAGATTTAGTCCAATTAGGTTATTCGTTAGGGTTTTCCAGTATTTCCTATAAATATGTACTTTGGGTTTACGTCATAGGCAATCAAGAAGAATATTAAGCAAAGTCTCCTAAACCCTAATCTCTCCTCTCAACTCCTAATTTCTCGTCTCATCCTAGTCCAAGGCCTCGGCCGATTCCCAATTCTATTCTATCTCATCTAAATCCCTAATTCTTTCTCTCAAACCCTAAATCCCTAATTATCACGAGTGCCGAAGATCAGTATCGAGAATCCCTAGAAGCGTGGTTCTCACACAATCACAACCCACTAACTCAATCTGGGGTTTCAAAAGCAACCATTAATCTCGACGAGCATTGGTTCACCACTAGGTTCGATGATAACAATGCAACGTAAGAGAAGAATAAGAAGAAACGCAGGCTTAAGAGAAACGAAAGAAGCAGTTTACTTAGAGAAGCAAGAAATTGAGGGGCATTGATCTGGTCAGCCCTTCTTTTTACCTTAACAGCCTTAGGCTTGGAGTAAACAAAGAGAAAGAACCCCACCGCAAGTCCAATTGCCAATCCAATGCCGAACCCAACAATACCCAATACGGTGCCGAAGAATCCCATCTTTCTCGTCTTTCTGTCACTCCCAATGCAAAACTGAAACCATCAGAAAGGAAGAACCCAGCAGGGAAATGGAAGAAGAAGTCAAGTGGTCATGGAAAGCAGGCGTTTTGAAGAAAGGCAAGGAGATGGGTGGATATTGGGTGAGGAAAATGAGGTGGGTTTTTTGGTCTTCGGGAGGAGGAGGCGATGAAATTTAGACGGGGAAGGGAATGCTTAGTGGGAGACGTTAACCATTACCAATTGGACAAAAAATGAGAAGGAAAGAAAAAAACTGGCTACAACTGGCGCCCCTGCCTGCCAGCGCCAGGGGAGGCTGCAGCTGCTGCTCTGTTTTTTTGCAGTGAAGATGAGAGGAGAGAGCTCTGCAACACAATGACTGTTATATTTCCGTTCGTCAGGACAGGTCAGGACATCTGTTGGTTTCAGGCTGAACATATTCTGCTGGGAGCATCAGATTCTGATTTTCCTATCTGAGGGAAAAGGAGATTTATTAAAAATGGGATTCATTTAATGGACATATTGCTTGCTTAGCATTTGTTTAAATTGCATCTGTTCTTTTCTCCCAATGACCTTTATACTTACTTATTTTCCCTTGCATTTTTTCTTTATTATAAGCATTTTCTTTGAGTATAAGTACTCAGCCAGCTACTTTTCTTGTTTATTGCTGTTTGAATAATCATCAATCTATATAAGTTTACCTGTCAAAATTGTACTCTTTCCTCCTAAATAATGAACAGCCAGTTATGTGATTATATTAAAATATTATGCGTTCGCATTGACGTTACATATAAATGAATGAAATACAAGATTTTAATTAGAATTGTCTATTCTTATCTAAAAATAATCCATCTAAAATAAATGAACTTTACTCGATCTCAAAATCAATCCATGTGCGGCACTTGTAAGATTGATTTACTTGATCTCGAAATCAATACAAATGAGATACAATATTATTCGTTCACAACCACTTCTTTGTTCGCAAAAGAACTATTTTTAACCTACATTTGTCCATCAAATTCTAGCCTCTCTAATTGAAAATCAACCTGAGACGGGATTAGAAATTTAGAATCAATCAATAATGGCAAGTATACTTGTTCAACAATTCAATAATGTTTTTTTATTTTTTTTTTTGCTTCTTCTTAAAAGTCTTACAATTCCAAATTAAGAATACTCTTCAAACTGAATTAATAGTCCGTTGTTTCTTTAATTTCACTCGGGATTTAACGTCAGCAGAGTTAACAAGTTGATGGTATTAAGAGATTGGCCATTAAAAGAGAAACTTATAAACCTTCTTTGTCTTAAGAAAGAATCTTCTTTGACCTGTTGTTATTAAGTTAATTCTATACGTTAACTTTTGCAGTTCGGCCAAGATATATGATTGAGAATTGAAAGTAAAGGACCACAGGAAGTCCGCTTGTCGTAAACTGGTCAAAACGTTCAGAACTAAGAGTAAAGGACAATCATCGTCATAATCGAAACATTTTTGGACCCTCAAAAGCTGGCAAGCAGATGTGTAGCCAATCACTCATATATACAACAAAATGTTTGAAACATCAAGTACACCACAGAAGAGACACCAAGCCATGAAGAAGTTCCATGAATCACAGCATTAAAAACCCTCCTAAACCCCTATTAATTTACCGAATACAGACATGCATGATACACACAGTACAACATAGGTTTTTGGTTCAAACACACAAAACACTAGCTCTTCACTGCTAGTCCCTGCAAATGCCCTTTAACCGGAAGGTCCCAGAAGGGCAAGCAAGAACTTCCTGTAACTCCCTGATGTTTCAGAATGAACAGCGTCATTAAGTTTCTTCTTGTACTTCTTCAGGTACTCGGCTTTTATGTATTGCATATCGATCTCGGTCCTCGTCACGATTACCCGTATTAGTGCTGTGTCATTGGTGCCCAGACCCTTCATCGCCTTGTGCAGCACCTGCGAAGAAATCAAATGATGAATATGAGAAGGGAAGAAATTGCAGTGTTTGTTACAGGTAACTGAGAGGCAAAATATGCAGACATGATTTATTTATACCTTTGCAAAGTATTTTGCAGGATTCTCGGAGCACAACAGAATAGTCAACAGTGCTTGCTTGAAATGTCCCGATGTTTCCTTTTTCACAGCCTGTGATAAGGACATGAAAATTGAACTTAAGAATGGATAATAGAAGTTTCTGATGAGACTGAAGAAGGTCAGTACAGCTACAGCATCGTTTACCTTCTTCAAGTCGTGTCCGTATAAGTTCTGGTAAGCAGCATCAACAGCAACCAGATGAGCAGCGCTACGTGAGCTGAAAATGTTGATGAATGTCTTCTCATCAGTTCCCAACCTCTTCTCCCCTGCTTTGTATAGAGTCTTTGCATCATTCGCAGCCACCTCTTTGTCAACTTCCCAGCCTTCATAGCGGGGAGTACTTGCATAAGCAAGCAACAACTGAGACAATAAGCAACTTCAGTTCAACAAAGATCGACCTTGAGAAAAGGTAACAGATTCATTAGAAACAGTAAATGATAGTGATAGCAGCTGAGGATATTGCTTCATAAGCTACTATTACACGTATGATAATTCCAATCATCCAAATGCAATCCATAACAGCAACAGATCGTAATGTACTTCTCCTATGCAGATCGGTAAGAACTTTTGAGCCAGCATACATGACTACCTAAGAGAGTGAAAACAGAATGATACCCTTTTATGATCTCCAGAAGTATGAGTTTCAATATCATGCTCGAGGTACACACGAAACCTTGCATAGTAGTGCTGTTTAAATAACTGTATCTGTGAAGGCGTACGGGAACAGATCACTTCAGTAACGGCATCCAAATTACTAGTTTCAGACATCAATCCCTGCCTTACAATCGTAGCATCACATCCTGGAGCATCTTGCATCCACATAAGAACTGCATTCTGAGTACAGGCACAGATGAGCTTGAGATCAGAATAACCACGGAAACCAAGACAAGCTTGCCACTAAGCTGATTTATATGGTGAACGTGAATATAATAATAGTGTAAAGATGAGACAGAAATTGTGCGGAAGTTGGTCTTACCTCCAGCTTGCCACTAAGCTCCGACGACAAGCGCTTGAATATGTCCTCCGAGTACATTGTTCGGTACTCATATTGGATATAAGCACGGTGTGCTGCATCTCGATGAGCCAGAATATCTATAACTGCCGAGGTATCACACCCGAATCCTGTGACAGACAGAAAACCGCAAACCTTATAATTTATCAGATTGCTTCATGTTGTGTTGCAACTTGCCGCATGGCAAACTTGCATTCCGTTCTTACGACAAGTCTTTCGGTTCAGTGAGGAGATATGAAAGCAAAAGGAAAATTTGAAACCTTTTTATGGCTTCAAACAAGGTGACTCGCATAGCCAGAGTTCAATTATCAGTGATCACACGTCGACAACATAAAAACAATAGAAAGTCTGGGAATCACGCACCATGATCATAGCGAAAATTGGGTTCCTGGGTTAAACTCAAGAGAACCTAGAGAAAGGAGATTATTTCATACAAAAACTCATATCAAATGCATATTTATTTACATCGATCTCCAGGAGAAGCAATCGACATGGTCGCATATCAGGGACGTTCACCAAGCATCTAATGTGTTCACTGCGGAGCAAACAAGGTTGAAGGGATTCTTTCTCCCTGCAATTGATTTCTACACGTATACGACAAAAGCCAGGGACAAACTAGACTAGAGGGGGAAATCCAAGCATGCTGCTCAAGCCAATCGTCCAAAATCAATCAAACAAAAACAGTAGAATATTGAACCAAACCCAAAAGAAAGAAAGGAAAAAAAGAAAAAAAAAGGAAACCCTCAACCAAACAGACCAACTCAATCAAGGGGAATCAAAAGAGCAGAAATCTGAAAGAGGAAAAGATATATACCCTACCTTTGAAAGCTTTTTTGAGGAGAATGGCATCGTCCCTGGGAGAAGGAAGCACCGGAGGGAAATTCAAAGTCGACATAGTTACAGCTACCCTGTTCGTTTAAGAAAGAAACCACCAATTGATCTCCAAACTCTCGTGGGGGCACCTCCTCTCTCCTGAATGACCGCAGACTAGTTTTGCGGCCGGGGAGAAGAAGACGAAGACGAAGGTGACGGCGATTAGAAGAAGAAGAAGAAGAAGAAGAAGAAGAAGGGTTGAATTTGTGAGAGAGGGTTGATGAATGAAATGGATGTGGCGGAAGATTGAAATCTGAAGCAGCAAACCCGAAGAAATTTGCTGCCGGTGACGATATGATCAATGCAAACCTTTGCTTGGGCGTGTTCTTGTTTTCCCTCCAATCCTCTTTTCTAATCTTTCTCTTATCCAACCCCTAAATTCTGCCTCCGTAAATTTAGTAGGCAGAGACGGAGAAACGTTCATATGTATATCAGCATCGCCCCTGATGGACGCGTGGCGTTCTTAATTTGTCTCGTTTTTTACTTTCTTTTATTAATCAATCAATATTTGGAAGCTTTTCCCAAATAATTATTTTATTGCGCGTAGATCAAGGTTGTCAACCCGCGGGTCGACCCGCGGGTTGACCCACTTTGACCCTGACCCGGTGAGAAAAACGGACCGCACGCACCCGCCGGGTCGACCGCTACAAGGTACCGGGTTGGAGGTCAAATTGTATCATTTTTTTCTTTGTTTTGCGAAATGCGCCTATTTTCCGATTTTTCTTTTCGCCTACCTCAATCTTTGGAATCCTAAGTTGAACATTTGAATATTAATGTTATATAAGTCTGTGTGAATTTTCATTATATGTTGAATCTAAGTACGAAATGTTATTTTGGTGTAATATTATATGTTATAACTCATATGTTAGATGAGATTTGATATAATTTATCAGGATAAGTACAATATAATGACGCTTTCCATATTTCCGGGCTAAACCGGGCTAAAACGGGTGACCCATTGACCCTTGACCCACTAGCTCAACCGGGTCCGGGTCAACCCGCGGGTTGACAACCTTGGCGTAGATTGAAGGCAGATTTTGTTCATCAACTCCACTAAACTCAATCATGCATGAAGTTGATGACAGCTCGGCAGTCGGCAGTTCAACCATAAGATTTTATTCCGTCAAAAGAGCTCATTTTTTCCAGATTTTATTATTTGAACTCCGATTGGTGTGAGCTCGTCTTGCCCACGGCCCACTTTCATGAGTTTGGTCTCGCTCTGTCAGTGGACGTGAGCCCAACCTGTCCACGGGCAACAATCTGCACTTCCGGCCCAAAGAGACCAACGATAACACAGGGACAGCTCAACCAAATCGCGGAGGAAAACCCACAAAATGGTTGGTGGCTTGCTCACGCTACAACTCGGAAAATAGCATACACACACATCACTGCAATTTGCCACAACACAACTAGTTTGCCATTTGGAACTAGAGTGTTATAAGCTGCGATTCTATGAAATATCCTTACATGTTGTGTCATGTGTGAGCTGGCTGATCACTAATCCCAGTGGTTGGAAGCTATATGGATTTTACTACTCTGATTTTTGCAAGCTCCTTCTCAGGACATCAGACAGCTTCGCGCATGCTGCTCGCCCTCGACCCACACATCTCAAGTATTCATCCACTGTCAAGAGGTAACAAGCGACAATGAAACATCAAGTAATGGATAGAGAGGCAACAAGATGCTTAACGATCGGAGATTGTCCTGTGCGTACCTGACATAACGCCATGAGTGACAGAGGTGATGATCCCGTGTTCCAAGGGCTCGCCATCAACGAGAGATGATCCTTTAGGTAGGGCCGACAGAGCCGAGTTTGGAAACACTAAATATGCAAAGCCTCTCATTTGCTGCCCCAAAAACAAATTCAACGACAGTAAGGGTCAAGTTAAAGGAGGAACTGAAGACTTGGGGGTATAAATTGATATTGGATAGCTTAATAACCTGCTCTTCCAGCTTTGTTGGATCGAGTACCACGGACCCCTCTTCTGCCACACAGCAACAAATTGCCACTGCAGAGACAAAACAAGGAATATCAGAAACTTAACTGCCGGAAAGGGGGGAAAAGAAACATGCTTGGATGGAAAAGAAGGAATTAATCATATGTACCGGCAAGGTGCTTCATGGGAATTCCAGCATCAACAAGGGCAGCACATGCTGCATTTATGGCACAAGGTAGAAGCTACACAAGTATTTTAAGTCAAGAAAGCAATCGCTGAAGCAAGACTTGTCCGGAACAATAGACAAAAAGGGCAGGAAGACTGGAAGAAGATTGCTCCAAAAGAAACCATGAGGATGAGAGAGGAAATTGCTCCTTCAGTACAACAAATGTAATTGTTCCCATGGAGCATGCAAGGAATACTAACAGTAGCAATATGTTCGGATGCTGTCAGAAATTTCTTTGTTTATGAATGCTTAGGGAATATTTACAAGCTGACAGCATGCCGGAGCATATTAAAGGATTGATACAGCAAGTGTAAACAATGGAACTCAGCCAAGTTGCATTCCAGCCTCACTTATTAAACATGAAAATATAAGGATACAGCTCCATCATCATTGACAACCTGCAAAACGAAATGGCACAAACTAGTGAGATGTCGATTAATTATTAAACAAGGATCTGGACTCCAAGCATGTACTATTTAACTTCTAGCATCATGGCAACATCAATCTAATAATGGATAGAACGCGCAAATTCTATGATAAAGTTTTAAGCTTTAACATAGATCACTAACCTGAACTACAACTGATGTTGTTGTGTTTGGGTTAACTGTCAAAAGACAAATGCTCTGTATAGTCTTCTTCATTATCATCTCACACTCTTTTTCGGCCTTCCCTATACATTTTTCGAACGGAAAGGAAAATCAGAGGCCTCACAAGTGACACAAAACTCAAACCAACACTAAAACTGAGACCCAAACACATGAAACCCAAGTGACCTAAACCAAAAACCTCATTCCGTTCTTTGCAGGGTTCAAGTTTGAGGAATACCAACTGAACACCCAGATAGAAAAGCTCACCAATTTGGCCTGTTTTAGGTTTCCAAATAACTTCAATACAAGCTTTTTCAGGATCCTCGTTCTTCTTCGTTCCAGCCTTAGGTCCATAAACAGCAGCCAGAACCTTCGTCTCTCCTAAGACCCGCAATCAGCAATACCGAACGCAATCAGCAGAAAACAGAAGGGAAGCCGCAGCCAAGAACTCAAACTAATGTGGTATTTACCTCGAGACCAACTTGCTGAGCCGTGAGCACGGTGGAGGATGTTGCGAGAGCAACTCAGCATCCTCGGCTGGTTCGGCGTGCGGCCGTCTTTCCGGTCTGTCTCCATCATCATCGTTCAACTAAACCTCCAATTGCTTCCTTTTCAACTCGAAACGACCTTGAAAATAATCAAGCTGAAGCCTACTCGAATTGAAATTTGGGTCAGAAAATTGTAGAAACTGATCCAGAAGCAAACACTGACGAATCCACCGTCGGTAAGGTCTTCGTCAGCTTGCGTTTAGCTCGAAAGTCGCTCTGGTCGGCGGACGGTATCAAAGTGTCAATTCTCGGCGGATGAGAGCAGGGGATCAGGGTTTTGGCCTTTTGGGTTTTAGGCTTTTGGCGAGTTAAATGGTAAAATGGTCACTAAACTTTTGCTTAATATAAAAAAACTACCACTAAACTTTATAATGTATCAAAGTGGTCATTGTCTTTTTTAAATCGTGTGAAAAGGGGTCACACTGTCCATATATTAGATGAGATTCACTATTTAGTCACTAGAAGGGTTTAGTCATTGGTGGTATCACTAGTAAATCCTTATTTCCTAATCTTTGATTATTTTATATTCATATTCAATAATTAAATTTTATTGGAACCAGTTGGTTCATGATGTAATATCATAATTGTTCTGACTAAATGGTCGTGTGTTCGAATCTTCATGATATTCTTATTAACTATTGAGTTAAGTACAAGGCATGGTGAGCGTGTCAATGACGTTGTTAGAAAATAATATTCATTATTAAACTGGTCCCAAAAACTCCAACCCATTGTAATGGTTTATTTGTTTGTCTCATCAATAATTATACTATTAATTATTATTATCATCATCATCTGTGTCGAGGTTTGATAATATATAAACAAGCTTATAGTTATGAGATTTCTCTTTTCCATTTTGGAAAAAGTCAGCATGAAATGTTGAACTCATCACATCACACGGTTTGATTAGTTTAACCAGGTAAAAGCTTTGCTAGCTCCTTGTAGTTTCCCAGCTAAATTCCTAACCAAGTTCTCCTACTGGATTCATTACCTCACTCTAGCAAGTACAATTAATACTGTGTCACAATATGGTTAGGTAGGTTCAACATTATAATGGTTGAATCGCGGTTTCAAAATCAATGATATGATTAATTATTTTCGAATAATAATTAATTAAGTTTGGGTTTTGTGAAACGAAATAACCTTTCAGAAGAAAATTATCATTTTTACAATAAAAAATTGTTACAGCCAATTTTCGTTCCAACATTTTTCTTCTTCTTCCATTTTTTTTATTTATTACAAACACTGAAATATGAAAGATTGCCGCTTCTATACTTTGATTTGACAAACTCTAGAATTAATTGTTTATATTTCTATTTTCTGTCAATAATTTATAGAAATGCAAATAACACTCTAACGAGAGTGATTTAATCACGTATTCAATCTGGTCCCATCTCCTGCCAAATTCCTGACAATTGGTTGTTGTCCTTGCTAGATCCACCAACCATATCGGAAATTTTGACAGAATTGCATGTGTCTTTTTTTCCTTGTTGGTCCCTTTTCTGGGTTAAAAAACGAGAGAATCAAAGGTGTAGTTAGTGGGCGGCTTTAATTTAGCTCCGATCCAAAACAGTAGTTGTTGGTGAAAGCATGATCGACGACGAAAAGGCGATGTGAATTGAATTGTCATGCTCATCTCCCCCGACCTCATAATGGTAATGTGTTCTCTTATGATCAGTTTTTTTTTTTTTTTTACAAAAGATAATCATATATTGATTTAAAAAATAGTCAATTACATCCTGGAGATCAGCCAGGACTGAAAATCGAACAAACGACTCGTAGCCGGGTACAAAGAAAGGGCCTTTCTAGCCACCAAATAGGCTACCCTATTACTACTCCGACCAACAAACCGAACACTAAACCCTGGGTTACTGGAAAATCCCAGCACCACCTCTTCCAGAATCGCTCCCACCCGATTGTCCCTAGTATCAGCTTGCAGGATCTTATCAATGACAACCTTGGCATCTCCTTCAAACTGGACATCCGTGAACCCCCACTCCAGACACCAAAGAATACCCTCACGGAGGACAAGCAGCTCCACCATCATGGGATCATCAATTATCGGAAATTGGACCCCTTTTGCCAACAAGACCTCTCGAGAAGGGATGATCAGTTTTTTTTTTTTTTACATGGTTCCAAAGTATTAAAAAAAAGACATCTCTCATATGACCAAAAAGATCGCTTTATTCATCAAGAGAAAAAAAAAATCGCTTACTTGTTTTTTCATGGTGAAAAGCATAGCACAAGAGGATACTAGCCAGGAATTTATCTAAAATGATGTGGAAAAAAATAGAACATTATTTTTATTAATATTTTATAGTGATTTGGAACATCATATTTTATTATTATGAAAAGGATCTAAAATGCGTACATTTATCATGCAAACTAGACTCTACCAAGCACCAAAGATTTTAATTCGTATTATTAATCAAACGAGACTCATTGATCAAAAACATTATGGTATAGTACAATATGATGTTTGATTTTTCCCATAAATTGCTCTAAAATCTTTTTTGAAGGGAAAAAAAATAAGCACTTCTGTCGCCATGCAAAGTTTGATGACCTAAATTTTATTTGTATATGGTGTATAGTCGACATAACCAAACAAGAAATAGAGGTCTACTGCATGTATTCTCATGTTGAATAACATAAAAAGGGATAATATTTTGATGCATTATGAAAGATTTGGCTAATTAATAATATTTTAATAGGTTTGAATAATATTTGTATATATTGTTTATATTTATAAAACATATAAAGCAATTTGCAGAAGATGTTTATGAAGAACTCAAATAAAGTAGTTCAAAACTTTTGAAGTGTAGTTTTCATTATCGCCAGGGCCCCTCTGCCACATGAGGATTAGAATAATAATCGAGATATTAAAATAGAAAGAGACATCTAAACTGTTTGTGGTAGGTAGGCATAGTTCAGATTGGTGTACTCTGAACTCGCTATGTACTTTCAGAGATATATATTTATCTAGTACATGGATAAAAATACATGAAATTTTTATTCATATTTGAGACTATCGAAATCGTTATTGGAATGACTAAATAATTTGTATCTATTATGATTACCATGATCTGAATAATAATTTTTTTTTAAAAAAATCTTTGGAAAATTCATTTTCACATTTACTTTCATAAGAGCTCGTATAACAGACTGCGAACACAAATCTCTATGTATTTGATAAAGACATTGAACTCATTTATATAGCAATTACAAATGAAATACCCAGACAAATAAAGAGAGAAAATAATAAAAAATAGAGGAAAACAAAGAAAAAGCTTTATATATATATATATGGCAATGCAAAATTTTAATCTGAAATTGAGATAAAACGAGACAAAAATAAAACTCACATCCTATCTCACACTAATCAGGAGGCTGGTGATACCAACATCTTAACTAGATGTTACACTACAAATACACACTTCAAAACTGACATACAACTTACGAACTTATTGTAGATATCCTAACATATCAATCTAACGTAGGACGGAGTCAGTTAGCTACTCTATAAATTAAACGAAAGCACTGATGGCCAAACAAGTAATAACAAAGTGGATTATGTCAATCATGGCCTTCTTATTATTGGAGTATGTTGTTCATTGGAATATTGGAGGAAATGAACAACACGATAATGGGTCAAACAAGAAAACAAAATTACATATCAAACTCTAGTTTGACAATTTCTTTTTTGCGAGACATATGGTGAGCGCATTGCAAAACCAGAACCAGAATTTGGAGGCCATGCGAAGCGAGGAAGGTATGTAGTCTTGCTTGCCGGTTTATCCTGATGAATGAGTTTGAGTGTGGTCAATTTTTTATATGTTACATTCGAATTTTAAAATTGTAATTCGTGTAATTAACGTTGGACGGGATGTCGTCATATGACTTATTAGAAATGTTAAGGCATTAATAATTAAAGCTCTTTATATTTGTCAATAAGGATGACAAAATAACATATCATCATGTGTATCCTACGGAATCTAAATAAATCTCGTCGAAGAAAATCCAACCGATATTATTTTTGGATGGGTATCCGGGAGTTCAACCAAAATGATAATTATTTTTTGCGGTTTTAGTATTTTAAATATCCACACCGAACTCACCTGAATATGTGCTATTACTAGTTTACTACCGTAATTTAGAGTCACTCGTTTCAAGACTTCATTCATCCATATTTCTCAAGTATTGTAATTATCTTTTGGACCAAAATTTTGCTCATTTTCCTTCACTCTTACAAACAAGGTCTAACTTAAAAGTAATAGTGGCACTCTAAGAAAAATTCCACATTATAAAAAAAAACTTGATATATAATTATCTGAGAATGATGTAGATGAATTTTATTCGAATTTCATATGAATATATTTTAGTAGATGGTAACGAGAAGAATATGGCCAGGTGGGTTCATAATTGAATAGTTCAACGCTTCATTTTGCTTGGTCAACAAATTCAAATGGCAGACCGATACCAGCTAAAATCTTATTTTGTTTTAAGGATACAATTACTAGCGCCAGACATGATACATATATTCCCAAGTTCATTAACATTCGAGAATTTAAATAATATTTTGTATTTTATGGTCTCCTTTTGCTGGCCGGATAATTAAGTCGGCTGATGCCTTGTCAATCGTTATGATCATATTTTTTTAAATAAATGCAGGGCATTTCAGGTTTCATTCAATACCAAACGGGATTTAGAGAGCTTTTGAAAGTCATACAAGAGAAAGTGATACGAGAAAGGAACTGATGAAGAAATATCATGCACACCCAGTGGCAAAGAATGTTAGGATCATTTTTATTGTTTTTATTTTGTATGAATGTCGGTAGGATAATATTGGACCGGAGCACCATCTTACTATTTTATACACATAAATACTCATTTTGTAACCTGTTAAAATTTTCTATTAGATTCTTGTTCTGTAACTAGCTTCGATGTGGTCTCGTTTCCTTGCTTAAAACTTGGGTCGAGCACAACCGACTTGAGTCACAAAATGGTAGATATTTGTTCTTTCAAGAATGAATGTAGACTTCTATAAAAAAAATGAATGTAGACTAATGCAACAATTTGGTATGTGTTGAGGTGTCATATGAATATGCATAATACGATAAATGCCTTACGTAATTAATGAGTTTAAGATCATTGCTAAGACACCTTACCTAGGGTCTCGGCCCACTCTGAAATGTCTCTTTAAGGAAGCTAAGGTACTTTACCTATTGCACATCTTACTCCGATGCGTCTCTTCAAGAAAGCTTTAGGACATCTTATCATGGAAGCCCCAGACTCCTATATAAGAACACGCAAGCTTCCAAACTGGGGATCATCTCTTCCCTTCCATTGGCACAGTAACCGTACACAGTCCTCTCTACTTTACATAACACAACTCATGTATCATACTAACTTGGGTGCCAGACTGTAAATCACGGAAGCCTCTTACTCTTCTCCGCATGTGAATTGTGATTCCGAAGAGATGGACCAAAGGAGTCCAGTAGTGGCTCCTAATCATCGTCATTGTTATCGATCTTATCCTAATATGAATCAAACAGTATTATATGTTACAATCGTTTGTACATTTATCTATCAATCAATTTTGATACGACTATATCTATTACTATGATGTATAAGCCACATGAATATATGGTGTCATTACCCCTCCCTACCCACAAAAAACAGTCTATTAGGTAGGATGTAAGACTTCCTCTTCAGGCTTAGATCAAAATGGAGACACAGCCTCCATAGGCCTATCAAGGGCAATCGGCAAACTTTCCATAATTTACATATCTTGGGCATATTCCAAAACACAAAAACAATCACACATTGGACTAACAGCCTAACACGATGTGCAAAACAGGGGATCTCCATAAAAATTGGTTGCCGGAGAAGTTAACCTCCTAAAATGGAGAAACAACCTCCATTGGTCTATCCAGCAATCGACAATCCTTCCATAATCTACCTATCTAGGACGTAATCCAAAACACAAAAAACAATAAGACATTGGACTAACAGCCTAACAGGACGTGCAAAACAGGGGATCTCAATAGAAATTGGTTGCCGGCGAAGTTACCTCCTAAAATGGTCAAAAAGATGATGCCACGCTTATATCCACAAACCACACACCACTACCATCCCTACCAAACCCCAATTGCCAAAAACTAGCACAAAAAAATTCCCACCAACCCCCCCTCAAGTCTCAACCTCAAGGTCCTCAGCCATGGCAGCCACCACTACCCTTCCTCTCTGCTGGGCCCCACCCCACAATCTCTGCTTACCCACATGTTCCCAGCCCACGTGTCTACCGTCTCCACCCTCCAAACTCCCACCACTGATGATCCAACGGCTCCCATGGCTTCTCAACTAACCCATCTGCCTAACCCAACAAACACACAAACACTCCCAGCCAAACAGAGTCTCCTTCGTCCCTTCCCACTTTTGCCTTCAAACCCCAACAACCCAACTCCCCTCTCTATTTAAAGCTCCCAATTTTGGTTGATCAGACTCAGGAATATTTCTGGGTAACCTGAAAGTTCCTTCCTTTTCTTCTTATACATTCAAAAAGATCAATTTTTTCCCCATTCTTTTTTTTTTTCTTGCCTCTGCTCTGTTTTCTAATTTCTTCACCCAATTCATCCGTTACCCATTTCGAATTCTTTAGAAAAGAATGGAGCTTTGCAACGAGAAGAACGGTCCGGTGGCTGTTGGTGCCGACCCATTGAACTGGGGAATGGCTGCCGAGTCGCTGAAAGGCAGCCACGTGGACGAGGTGAAGCGCATGGTGGAGGAGTCCAGATCCCCTGTCGTGCAGCTTGGCGGCCAGACCCTCACCGTTGCCCAAGTAGTGGCCATTGCGTCCGGCGCCGGCGCCACCGCGGTGGAGCTGTCGGAGGAGGCCCGGCCGAGGGTGAAGGCCAGCAGCGATTGGGTCATGGAGAGTATGAGCAAAGGGACGGACAGTTATGGCGTCACCACTGGGTTCGGGGCCACTTCCCATAGGAGGACCAAACAGGGTGGAGCACTTCAGAGCGAGCTCATTAGGTAAATTTTTTTTCCATTACTTTTGTGGGTATTGATTCATAGGGAGAATTGGGGAGAAGTTTGATCGATCAGTTGGGTGGTTAGAAGTTAGAACCATTTTTTCCTGTTTTCCATTAGGTGAAGGGTCGGTTTTTGACTGGTGCTGCTGCTGGTGTTTCTGGTGTAAACAGCGCAATAATCACTGTTTTCCATTTCAGGGATTAGTAGGATTTTACTGTTGGTTTTAGTTCATCTAACTTGAACCAATACTACTTCTTTTCATCTAACTGAAAACAATTATTAGCTCAATTATGACTTGATGTTGAAGATTTAAGTTGTTAATTGCAACAGTAAGTGGGGTCTGTGATCAAATTTCTATAGATGGGTTTGTTTTGCCTTTATCTAATTTCAATTAAGTGAAACGAGGACAAATTAGTGTTTGCTTAGAGATTTAAATTACAAAATAAATAAAGATAGTACTATTCATATTTTTGTGTACTCAAATTCACTTTACCATTGTTACTTTTACTGGTCAGTAAATAAATGATTTGCTTTTGGAGCTGTGTCTTATTATAGTAAACTCATGAAAGTTGGTAGGTTGGTGCCATCATTTCGTGTAGAATTTTTGGTATAAAAATGTTTTACATAATAAAAGTGGGTTGGTGGAGAACATGGTGTAGCGCAGGCCAGGTCCTTCCAAATGATTAAAGTCTATTACTTTACCTGGCGCAGTAAATAAAACATGCTTAGTAGCACGCACTACCCTCTGAATTATTACCTCAGTAATAAAAAAAATCCACAGCTATTCACTGTTAAATTTTTACCATCCACAGTGCAAAGATGTGTGTGTTTTGCTGTGTTTGAGAAGTAATCATGGTTTGTGTAACTTTGCACCAGGTTCTTGAATGCTGGGATCTTCGGCAACGGCACAGAGTCCGCCCACACGCTGCCTTACTCTGCGACCAGGGCTGCCATGTTGGTCAGGATCAACACCTTGCTGCAGGGCTACTCGGGGATCAGGTTCGAGATCTTGGAAGCCATCTCCAAGCTGCTAAACAACAATGTCACCCCATGTTTGCCCCTCAGAGGCACCATTACAGCATCCGGTGACCTGGTCCCATTGTCCTACATTGCTGGACTGTTGACAGGCCGTCCTAACTCCAAGGCGGTGGGACCTAACGGAGAGTCACTTGACGCTGCTGGAGCCTTCAAGGTTGCAGGGATCCCTGGTGGGTTCTTTGAGTTGCAGCCCAAGGAAGGTCTAGCCATGGTGAATGGTACAGCAGTCGGTTCTGGACTTGCCTCCATGGTGCTTTTTGATGCCAACATTCTGGCTGTTCTCTCCGAAATTATGTCTGCGGTGTTTGCTGAGGTTATGCAAGGGAAACCAGAGTTTACAGATCACTTGACACACAAGTTAAAGCATCACCCTGGCCAGATTGAAGCTGCAGCAATCATGGAACATATTCTGGATGGAAGTGACTACATTAAAGCTGCTAAGATGTTGCACGAGATTGACCCGTTGCAGAAGCCCAAACAAGATAGGTATGCACTTAGGACATCACCTCAGTGGCTTGGCCCTCTGATAGAAGTGATTAGGATGTCGACAAAAATGATCGAGAGAGAAATCAACTCTGTGAATGACAACCCATTGATTGATGTATCGAGGGGGAAGGCAATCCACGGAGGCAATTTCCAGGGCACCCCCATTGGTGTCTCCATGGACAACACCCGTCTAGCCATTGGTTCCATTGGTAAGCTCATGTTTGCTCAATTCTCTGAGCTTGTCAATGACTTCTACAACAATGGGTTGCCTTCAAACCTCACTGGTGGGCGAAACCCTAGCTTGGACTATGGTTTCAAAGGTGCTGAGATTGCCATGGCATCTTACTGCTCGGAGCTCCAGTTCCTTGCTAACCCGGTAACGAATCATGTCCAGAGTGCTGAACAACATAACCAAGATGTGAACTCTCTGGGGTTGATATCAGCAAGGAAGACGGCTGAATCAGTTGAGATACTGAAGCTCATGTCCACCACTTACTTGGTTGCTTTATGTCAAGCCATTGACTTGAGGCATATCGAGGAGAACCTGAAACACACAGTGAAGAACACCGTGAGCCAAGTTGCCAAGAGAGTGCTAACCACTGGGGTGAATGGAGAGCTCCACCCGTCCAGATTCTGCGAGAAGGACCTGCTTAAAGTTGCAGACAGGGAGTATGTATTTGCCTATGCTGATGATCCTTGCAGCGCAAACTACCCACTGCTGCAAAAGCTGAGGCAGGTGCTGGTCGAGCATGCATTGTCGAATGGGGAGATGGAGAAAGACTCCAACACTTCAATCTTCCACAAGATTGGACAGTTCGAGGAAGAGCTGAAAGCCATCCTGCCTAAAGAAGTGGAGAATGCAAGGGCTGAGCTGGAGAACGGAAACCCAGCCATCGCAAACAGAATAAAGGAATGCAGATCGTACCCATTGTACAAGTTTGTGAGAGAAGAAATGGGTACCGGTCTGCTTACCGGTGAGAAGGTCCAATCCCCAGGTGAGGTCTTCGACAAGGTCTTCTCAGCAATGTGTGAAGGGAAGCTAATTGACCCCATGCTTGAGTGCCTTAAGGAATGGAATGGCGCCCCTCTCCCTATCAGCTAGGTAGGATATGAAGTATACAAAACTGTGCCAAGACGACTTCTTTTCTCCTTCTTCTTCTTCTTCTTCTTCATCATCAAGTGGTTATTTTTCTGCATTCAAAATCAAGTCTCATGTAAAAGTGAACGGCCTTTTTTCCTTCTCTTCTTTTGTACCCATTAATGTGTATGCTGTGTATCTTCTCTGATATATCGACAAATCCTTTTCTTGTTACTGTTTTCAAGACAAATGGATGGAAATCCAACCCAGAGAGAAAATGGAAAGGAGTCTCCTTTGTAACTTGAATATGGATACCTGCAATCTGGGGAGGAAACTGCTTGGTTCTGTTTTAGTATGCTGATAATTCAAACCCCCCTGCAGTAGAAGAATCACTACCCAAACCCACTCCATGATAATCATGCAAATAAGGCTTATCATATAGGGCACACACCAATATGTTTCCCGTATCCGCACAACGGCTTTGACAGTTGTGTTGGATTACAGCTTTACAGAGGGAAACGCCAACCTGTTCTTCAACAATGTAAGAAGAACCAACCAGACAAGTTGTTAGAGATTATGGCATTCATCTGAATATCCAAACCCACTCCATGATGAAAACCAATGTAGGTAACATACAACACGCCAATTCACCAGACAATCCCTGTGATGAAATATCAAACCCACTCCATGATTGCAAAGTCTGATTCCGTGAAAGACATAGAAGAAGGTGGTTATATAACACGCTAAATAATTGAGGGGGCACTGTATCACATGGTATTCAAAAATATACCATCTTACACACAAGTTTTGAGAGTAGAATGATTTTGATCACTATAGCATGTGAAACGGTCCAACATTCAGATGTTTCATGATACATTGTCAGAAGTGACACTGACACTGAGATAAGAAGTGAACCAAATAAGTCAAGTTCAAGCTTCTTGATGCACTCTGAGTATGTCCCATGAAGTAATAAAATTCCCAGCAAATGACAATTCGTTTAATCAGTCACCAATTTCAGACTCTGATGGGGTCTCTTATGCCTGGTGCAGACACCATATTATTGAAGGAACATCTATGTTTGTAGCTGGTCTACTGTCACAACTTACCATAGGACACTGATACAAAAATAGAAGGTATAAATTATCAGTGTAGAAATCAATAATATGGAACTACATGAACACAGGTCATACAGTGAGTATGAACCACAATCATGACACGTTGCGAACTCTGACAATCAATCAAGATCAAAGAGGTCTCATGCTTGGTAAAGTAAGGCAACGAGTAGTACACCAGATTAATGAACATGGAACCATTACAGCAGAGTTTATTAGAGGAGACATAATACCAACCAGTACCTCTAAAAGCTCCTCAGTGTCAAGTAATGGCTTATCTTGGTTGTGGCAGGTCGCAGGAAGCTGGAAGGACGTAGGAAATTGAGCTGATCTTCAATAGTGCACATTGATTCCTAATCAAATACCCCAAACTGTAAATAAGATCCAATTCTAATCAGTCGGACTTGTCATTGAAGGAGGACCATTCAAACTTAATTGGAAAACTATTATAGAATCGACATTTTGTCCTTCTTCATTGAGAAGAAAACATCTTTTATTTCCTATGATGAGACTAGGGCACGAAGTTGATCTACATCCTTGGAAAGAATCAAAAACTTTTGCAGAAGAGGGATAGAAACTCTTTTCACATTTGTATCCACCTCTTCCAACTTCTTTTAGAATCAGACTGTTTCACTACACATCTCATTAGTAGCAGTAAGAGTAAACTGATCAAACCAAATGATAAAACCAAGACTGTTGTAATACCTTCACCAACAGAGTAAACTGATCATACGGCTCCTGAACTCGCATAAGAACTTAAGATGAACTCATATTAGAGGAAAATCAACACCCATCCCAGACTCTCTAAACATAATCAGTTTATAGGCTGCTAAGTCATTTCAAATTGTTGGACCTACCAGTTTGCAGACCAATGGCGTGTATACCAAGCTACTCAGCGACCAGATAATGAGTCACTGGACTACAGTACCATCCTCTACCATCACATACATACCACTATGAAGCAAGAGAGCCCACCGCGAGTATACCACTCTGAAGATGCCAAACTCTCCTCCTATTATCTCAACAAAAATAATTTACAACACATCTGACGTTTCCAAAGGAATTGGGAAACAAAAGTAATGCTCAATTGCATGTAACGGGTGTAAAACATAAACCACAACTTGGGTTTCAGCTTTCCTGCTTGCCCTCCTTAAATCACATACCATCAAACTTTGTAACTACTGGGTTTCTGGAATAGGAAAAATCAAACCAGATGAGACCCATCATAACCAACTTTGAACCCGAAACATCCTGTTAATCTGCCTCCAATACAAGAAAACTTCGCATTTGGCATGGAACCTTGGTCTTGCATTGGATTTTCTAACAACCAACAGACGATCAGTTACTGAGTGCAAATCACATAACGATCTTTCTCATCAAATAACACCCTCAAGGGCACTTAATTCAAGCACCAACAGAGCAAAACAACAAACGTGCTCTTCGGCGGTGGCTGATGTGGCCTTCTGTTAAACAAATAACACGGGGATAACATTTCCTCTGTGCTTATATGCTCTTTACATGCCTGTACAAGCACTCACTTTGCGCCCACCAATACGTAATTTGAGCAAACTGCAATGAAGTGGAAAAATTGGATACCAACTGCTGAGTAATACCACATTCATTTGGTCAGTATAAGGAAAATAACCTGGGGATCCTTTTGCTGTATGCTGCAATCACAATTTTCCTTGCTACACTTCCCGTTCAAACATAATGAGATGCAGTCAATAAAAGTGGCCACCACTACAAAATAAATGCTTTGTACATGCAAGAATTGAGCCCCCCCTAAGATTTCCATAGACCACGCGTCAACAATGATCCGAAAAGCAAAGTATTATCATGAAACAAAGTCTACTTACTGCATTCTGAAAGGGGAGTAAAAACTACGACAACCTTACAAGACAACTGTCTAGTATTAAGGGTGTCTTCACTGTAATCTTTAAAGGATGTTTATATCGATCACAAAACAATTGAAACAGTGTCAATACTTTATTCAATACAATCACCAAATGAGTAACCCCATTGGAAACCAGAAAAATTGTCACAAGGCACTTCATAGGTCTGTGTCTCAGAGAACCACACATTTTCTTGAACACTGCAAGCATGTTCTAGAACAATTTTCATTCCACAATAGGAGGCAATTGTAATGCAAGTTTAAGAGACTATTCAATAAAATTAACCTGACTATTAAAACCACGGATGTTGTAGACCAGGACTCGAGCAGAGAACAAAAGATGATGATTTGGTACGTGGACTAGTTTCACTTCCAGGATCTCAAGTCCTGAACTACAGCACAGAGAAATCCCATCACAATGAATGAACCTTGCTGGAATAAACTGACACCATATAAACAATCCCCTGGTTTCCTTCTAGGAGCCGCCATGCCATCAAAGAACTCTCATGTCTGCATTTTGCTTCCGGAAAAAAAAAATGGTGCACGTCGTGGGTTTATATACTGGTCCTGATCATTCTCAAGTACCCTTCTAGTCCTATGGACTACATCGAGCACTTCCAGTCCTTAAAATACTGTGGAAATGGGTGAATCGGTTATGGAGGGAAGCATTGTTGACATATCAGCATCTTGCTTTCAGAACCAACAAGGACAACACATTTTCAGGCTCAGTGGTGGTATACCAGTGTAGCACTACTTATTTCTTAGTTCTTCTCTTAGACTCCATTTAGGACTTCCACTCTATGAACCTGCAGAAAAACCAGCAAATTTGAGGTGAGCGGAAGGGCAACTAGAACATAAACATTCCCATCTTAATTGCAGTTAGAACTGAACATCATTTCAGTTAGAAAAAAAATTACTTTAAGAACTACCAATCATAGATAATAGTCCCCAATCACGATTTCGATTTGAGGGAAGGCAACTAGAATGAATGAGCAAATGATCTCAATTCAATTATAAGGCGTATCCAGCCTTAACTTTTAGCACCCTTGTTTGAAAGAGGGTCAGCTGGAATCAGTAAATAATTCTATCTAAATGTTCCCTTTTTCAAGCAAAAAGGCAAGAAATCTGTTATTGATCAATGTTCTAATTTAGGGCTCCATTTAGGAAATGAATAACAATTTGAGATGATCAATAACAAGTAATAGGCTGATCTTCCAAACAAGAACAACCATCATAATTCAAAAAGTAACCATTTACAGAGTTGCAGCTTGAGAGTTACAGTAAGTACATGTATGGTCTAATCTCTTGCATTGCAGAAAAATATATCGACTTTATGAATTGCAATCCATCGTATATAAAAGAACCAATAGAGAACTGTTAGAAGCACAATACAATATCAGGTCAGCATCCATCATCCTGAATTTCTAGCGTAAACTAGCCCAGAAGACAGCAAATCCAGCTTATAAACAAATAAGAGCTTACTTACTCGTTCACATCCACATATTCGTTCAAAATCAAGCTGGCTTTAGAAGGCAGCAAAACTGGAGACATGAGTCTCTAGAATCAATATTCTGTTAATCAAATGGAGAAGAAAAGGAACAAAAAGATTGGGTACAGTTAAAGAAACCATGTATTGACTTTTCAGAATCAACAGATGGCTCGGTATTAAATCCAGACAGCCTCAGTTCCACATGGCCAAACTGTTTTCTTGGTAAATAACAAATTTTCAGTCATTACTCCCACCAGACTAAGACTACATTCGGACTTTGAGTTCATAGCATACGATAAGGCGCAACCAAGTCAGGACTTTGTTATCAGCAACTTGTTTTTTCCATCAGAAAGTATTCCCCACTGTTATACTATCAAACAACTCATTTCTAGGAGCAGAAGGGCGACTCTTTTCTTGGTAAATACAAAATTTTCAGTCATCACTCTTACCAAACCAACACTGCATTCGGAGCTTGAGTTCATAGCATACGATAAGGCTCAACCAAGTCAGAACCTTGATATCAGCAACTTTTTTTTCAATCAGTAAATAATCTCACTATTATACTATCAAACAATTCTTTTCTAGGAGCAGAAGGGCAACTAAGCCTAGTCATAGATCCCGTCTAGGACCCCTATTATCAAGCTTTAGAGAGTCGTAAAGATCATAGATGGGGCAGAAGGGAAACTCAGCCTAATCATGGTTCCCATTTAGGACAACTTAAGCATATATCTCAATGAACCTATCACAATGACAGACAAGGCAGAAGAGCAACTCTGACTAGCAGAATTCTCTTCTAGGACCTCTTTGCCATGCACCTTAGCTTGAACGAACCGGCATTTGGGGCAGAAGAGCAGTTGTGAGGAGTCATAACTCTCTTCTAGGACCCCGCTTTATCATGCTGAAGCTTCTTGACATTAATACGGAGCAAGAGCAAATTTGTGTAAAAAGGGACATTCAAGAGTCACAGCTTGAGAGTTCAATAAATGTAGGGTCTAATCTCTTACTTGGAAAAAAAGATATTGATTTCGTGAATTTCAATCCATCATATATGCTATATAAAAGTACCAAGAGAGAATCGTTAGAAGCACCATAACACTGACAAAATCATATCAACATCCTTCTTCTTGACTTCCTAGTGTAAACTAGCTTAGAGGGCAACAAAATCTAGCTTGTACAAGAATCAGACCTTAATCCTTCCAATTTAGATATGGCTCCAGAATCTAGCTTTAGAAGGCAGCAAAACTAGAGAACATGAGTCCCTTGAATCAACATTCTTTTAATTGAATGGGGGGAAAAAGGAACACATGGATGTACAGTTAAAGAAACCATGATTTTAACTTCCCAAAATCAAGAGACAGCTCAGTATTAAACCAAATGCCTCAGTTCCAAATGACCAAACAGACATTTGGGGCAGAAGAGCAACTGCGACTAGTCATAGCTCTCTTATAGGACCCACTTTATCGTGTTAAAGCTTCTTGACTTTTAGACGGGGCAAGAGCAACCACCATGTGTACGAAGGGACTGAACTATAGGGAGAGAAATTATTATACTGTAGAAACTGTTTCTCCATAGACACTATACAAAAGTATCCCAACAGAATAGATCTTATATTCACCATATGCTAAAGAACCGTAGAGAAAATGATAGGATGGGGCAAAAGAGCAACCAAGACTAGTTATAGTTCCCATCTAGGACCCCATTATCAAGTTTTAGAGTCATATAAAAAATCAAATATGGGGCAGAAGGGCAACTAACCCTAATCATGGTTCTCTTTTAGGACCCCATAAACATTTATCTCAAAGAACCAATTACAATCACAGACAAGGCAGAAGAGCAACTCCGACCAGCAGAGTTCTCTTCTAGGACCTCATTGCCATCCACCTTAGAGAACCATGGAAAACCGACATTTGGGGCAGAAGAGCAACCAAGACAGTTATAGTTCCCATCTAGGACCCCATTATCAAGCTTTAGAGTCATATAAAAAAAAATCAAAGATGGGGCAGAAGGGCAACTAAGCCTAATCATGGTTCTCTTTTATGACCCCATAAACATATATCTCAAAGAACCAATTACAATGACAGACAAGGCAGAAGAGCAACTCCGGCCAGCAGAGTTCTCTTCTAGGACCTCATTGCCATCCACCTTAGAGAACCATGGAAAAACCGACATTTGGGGCAGAAGAGCAGTTGTGACGAGTCATAACTCTCTTCTAGGACCCCGCTTTATCATGTTAAAGCTTCTTGACATTAAGACGCAGCAAGAGCAAACGTGTGTAACATGGAACTCAGCTATACGGACTGAAGTTTTTATAAATCGATTGTAGGAACCAGGAACAATCAACTCACTATTTCTCAACCTAGACACTATACGGCCGACAAGAGGAATTGTGTGTACAACGGGACTCGACAGCGAACAACGTAACTCATATATCTCACATTCAACGTAACCAAGGTTGTCTTGAAATCATATACACCAACAAGATCGCAACGGTTCTGAGACAATAGGAAAACTCTCGAAGACCCATCGTAAACCCTCCCACTTAGTATCCAGCCCAGAAAACAAAATGGATAGGTCGGAAACATACCTCAATTGGGAACCAACAACGAATTCGATCGGAAGTGTCGGCGATTAGGGTCGAAGTCAAACATCAATCGTCGGCAGTCAGTCGAGTAACAACTAGGCAACAGATGTAGAATCCGCGAGGTAACTACTTACAGGCGGCGACCAGCAGCGAATTAATGGGTTTTCCGAAATCATCTTTCCCTTTGTCTTCCTGAGAACCCTACTTTCGATGATCATCGGGGCAACGTGAGAAAACTCAAGCAGGCGGTAGAGAAACTTGAAACCCTAGAAGGAAAGAGTACGTGCCTTTACTTACTTCCCTTCACTCCCATTCTTGGAGAAAGATGATGAATACGTTGCTACTGGGTGGAGGGAAGATGAATAGCGAGAGCTTCAATTTGGTATTTATAGATCAAGGCGGAGCTTTGAAGTCGGTTAGCTTTTTCCCGTTTATAGCGTTATTTAGCCGTTAGACGCGTTTCGGACGCGTTTCAAACGCGTTTCGGACACGTTTCACTACTTCCGTGTACCGTTATTTCCCGCTGAACGCGTTTTTTTTTTTTTTTTTGTCGCCGAACGCGTTATTTTAATTTCAATTCCTGCTTTTATCCTAAGAAAAAATTGACCGCCAACTGATAATAATACCAGCCCATCAATAGAAAGATGGTCTATCAGAATAGCCCAATTGAAATAACTCTGCAGCCCAAACGAATAAGAGACCGACAACTACTATTATGCCAAATACACAATTTTAAGGTTTAAAGCAAGGCCCAATATTCCTATCGTGTCTTTTAATTGAGCCCAATTTTAGAATTAGCCTAGTGTAAGAATTTAGGATGGCACTTAATTCTTAAACGACAAATTTCAGCACACGCCTATTAGCAGGTAATATATTGAGTTCTTTATGGTATTATGAACTACAAGCAAAACTTAACTTTTTTTTCCTTGATCATCTTTTTACATAATTTTTTTCTCTATAAACTTAAATGGAAGGGAAATTGACTACATATTTGGGGTTTTAGGTTTGGTAAAATTACACGTAAATGTATTCTTTTTATACTTTGAGAACGAGTCGTGGAGATGCTGAGAGAGGAGACGTATTTACTTTAATATATTTTATTGGTAATTTTGAAGATATTTAATTTGATATATGCTGATAACTACCAAAATATTAGGGTCCTGATTTGAATAGCGAATTTATTTTGAAATTGAGATTAAGTTTGAATTTAGGCCACTATTTGGTATTTAATATTTCGGTGTTGGGTACTGGCATGCTGTTATAACACCGATTTCTACCCCTATTTTTGAAATGCTTGGTGTTATAAAGTCTATGGAAATTATGCATGCACCTTTCATAACAAAAAGGAAATACATAATATATCCTACTTTGTCGTCCAAAGTCCAAACCGAGATCTGAAATTGATTGGAACATGTTATTTTTACATTTTTACTTCTTCTCCACATAAGATTTACCTCGCACCGGGATAATTTTTAGGTACATTGAAATACTTTAACAAACTAGTTCCCTGGTTAATTTGACAATGATAGGGATTTCTTGTTGGTTTTTGTGTCACATTCATCGCTATTTCATTAGCAACTGAGTATGACAAAAATCAATTGCTACATAAATGATGTCCCTATTGTCTCGTCTCATGTAAAATTTTTGAGTCCGTATAAATGTAAGCAAATCCACATGAGAAACAATAGCCACATCCTTTCATCAGAGTTACATTGAATTTCCAAAAGGAGGCAAGCAAGTCCTAGAGATGGCAAAAATATTCGCAACCGTGGATATCCGCCCGAATCCAACCTAATCGGGTAGGGTAAAACCCGAACTCGAAGGACTTTTAGTGGGTACGGGTAAAACCCGAACTCGAATATTGCGGGTAATGAGTGGGCATGATTTTCTCACTATCCAACCCGAATCCGCCCGATTATACACATGCATATGTATTTTGTCTAGAAATAATCAATATTTTTGTTTAACATATTTTATGTTTACCATATAAATATAATATTTTTTTGGAATTGTGTTGTTTTAATTAATTTTGTTCATTCTAGTGAATAATTGTCGTACTTTTCGTCTTACGTAACATGAGAATAAGTGTGAATATTAATATATTGGTTGAAATTATAAAGAGAAACCATTGCCCATGGATAACCGTGGATACCCGAGACCCCGAACGGGTATGAACCTGATTTGAATTTTCTACCCATTTTTTATGTGAGTATGAGTATGAATAAAACTCGAACTACTTTAAATAGGGTAACGAATATGCAATATCCGTCCCCGACCCGACCCATTATCATCCCTACAAGTCACGCCACCACATATACATAAGTATATTTCTAATTCTCTCTCTATATGCTTGATCAAATACAAATCAATAGGGTGGATAACCAAGCCAATGTAGACACGACGAGTTAAGAGGGGGTTGGTGGCTAAAGCGCCAAATCACCAGAATTACCTGCAACAAATGGTTGTTATTCAATTTATAAATCCAAAACAAACCAAATAAAAGGAGACTAATCAATTAGACTTCCACTTTAATTATACTCACCTACTACCGCCTTGTTAGCTAGTGGCTACTCCCCCGCCCGTAACCCAGATCCGCAGCTATATATCCTCGACTTCGACCCTCCCTTTTCTTCGCCTCTCTATTTGCAGCTAACCGGTAAAAGGGAGAAACCTCACTCAGTCTCCTCTCTAGTGCTACACTGCACAGATTTGCAGAGGAGCAACAGCATTTTCTTTTCTCCGATTCCTAGATCCGAAGAATGGCCTGCGAGGGTACCTTGTTGGGTATGGGGAACCCACTCCTCGACATCTCTGCTGTTGTCGACGACGGCTTCTTGACTAAGTATGGCCCTTAAAACAATCTGCACTTTCTTTATATCTTGTTTACATTTGTTGCTGATGATGTTCTGGAATTGGATCCAGGAAGTGGGTTCGGAATTGATGTGTATTGGTGAATACCGGATCTATGGTTTATTTTTTCTGCTGTAAAGTTGTCTTTTTTGGTTGTTGTTTGGATACCTGAAGTGTTTTCCTCTTGTGGGTTGTTTTCTGATTTTGGGATGTAGATCTCGTATCATGTCTGCTAGTCCTTTTGTTTTGGTGGCGTTTCGAGATTGAATGAGTCTGTCGGTTTGATTGTTGTGAAAAAAGGAGGTTGCAAAGTTCTGAACTTTCGTTGAATCTTGAGAATGTTTGGTTCTTTGGGATCAATCATTGTGAAATCCTGTCTTGATCTGCCATATGATTTATCGTTTACTGAATTACTGTATGAACTAACAGTAATACGTTGTGGCAATCTTGGTTTCTAATGATGCTTGTTCATTTAATAGGTATGACATCAAGCTAAACAATGCTATCCTTGCCGAAGACAAGCACTTGCCCATGTAAGTTTCTTGATTCCATTTTGAAATAGTATCATCATCTCATTTTCGGATCTCTAGTAATCCTTCAATACGTGTAGTTTTTTTATACCTATTGTTTCAATTGCTTGTTATATCATTTGATTATGCTTCACTTTTGCAGGTACGACGAGATGTCAGAAAAGTACACTGTCGATTACATTGCTGGAGGTAACACCAGATTCTACGAGCATTTTTCATCATCTTAACAGTAAACGTTGTCATTGGTGTTTTCTGTCTGCTAATCTTTTTGCGCGCTCTTGTTAATTTTATAGGTGCCACTCAAAATTCCATCAGAGTTGCCCAGGTTTGATGACGCACACGGAACATTGGTTTCTTTCTGCTGTGCTTCATTGAATTGTACTTAATGTTTTCCGTATGTATTACAGTGGATGCTCCAAAAGCCAGGTGCAACAAGCTACATTGGTTGCATTGGGAAAGACAAGTATGGTGAAGAGATGAAGAAAAATGCTAAGCACGCTGGTGTTAATGTATGTAACTTTTTCACATGAAATTAACTTGGTGGTAATTTGTCTTCATTCATCTGTATTAACTTATCGCCTTATTGTGTATTTCATAAATTAGGTTCATTACTATGAGGATGAAGCTGCTCCCACTGGAACATGTGCTGTTTGTGTTGTCGGTGGTGAGAGGTTAGTTAGTGTTCTGCTATTCTTAACTTGCACGTCACTAAATGCATTGTTATAATTCCTTCCCCATATCAGTAGCAAAATTTGCTACCTTAAAATGATTGATTCTAATGAGGCTAGTCTTGCATGTCTGTCTTACCGACGGTTACATCACTGGATGCGCCAATGATTTCCAAGTCATCAACAACTTTGTTATTCTTGACCAAGGTTATGTTGATTAAACTAATGGCCATATCCAAGTGATTCTATAGATCTGAGAGGGGTTATTTGCATTGTAGAGTTTTGAGAATTTTCTTACCTGTTATTCTGTTTAGTGGTGAGCATGTCTATACATGCTGAGTAAAACAATGAACTGACTGCAAATCCGTTTATTGTGGCTATTTCTCATGCCATGATCTAAAAACAATGAACTGACTGCAAATCCGTGTATTGTGGCTATTTCTCATGCCATGATCTAAAAAATTCCGCGATGGCTGTGTTTATTGCATTCTTTGCTCCAGGAGTTTCTTGTTGTTGTTATGGCTGGAGCATTTGAGTGTCATTGGTAAACTAAATGGCAGTTGAAATCAACAGAGCATGCATGCATCTTGAATTTGTTCGAGCCCTCTCATTTCTAGTGTCAGGGAGATGGAATTGTATTAGCGTTAGGGTGCTTAAATTTGTCAAGAACCAGTTGATCCCAATAACTCGAGTTGTTGGGAGAGGTTCAATCGTGAATCATATACCACAACACTAACACGCCCCCTCAAACGAAAGCCACTCACAAGGGCTTGAAGTTTGCACAGGTCTAAAGACAAGAATACCATGTGCTTAACAAATGGGGGTCACCGGGAATCGAACACAAGACCTCTCGGTCATAGAAGGCTCTGATACCATGTCAAGAACCAGTTGATCCCAATAACTCGAGTTGTTGGGAGAGGTTCAATCGTGAATCATATACCACAACACTAACAAAATTCACCATACATATATTGTAAGCATATATTTGAACACATTTCTGAAGTCAGAAACTGAATGATCCCACAGGTCGCTTGTTGCAAATCTATCAGCTGCAAACTGTTACAAAGTTGACCATTTGAAGAAACCTGAAAATTGGGCACTAGGTATTTGTCTTGTATTTAAGTATTTTTTCAGCTTCAATTAGTGTTTGAGTATCTTATCTTACTCTCTTTCTGGTTTTCGTTCTGGTTTTCTATATATAGTGGAGAAGGCAAAATATTACTACATTGCTGGATTTTTCTTGACTGTGTCTCCCGAGTCTATCCTACTTGTTGCTGAACATGCAGCTGCCAAGAACAAGGTTATTATTCATATCTTTTTTTTATCTTTTATTCCTCCAGTTTTTGTAGCTCACAAAATTCATGGTCCAAGTGTTTTGCTTTTTGCAGATCTTCTCGACCAACCTTTCTGCTCCATTTATCTGTGAGTTCTTCAAGGATGTCCAAGAGAAAGTTTTGGCGTAAGCTTCCCACTCAAATTGCTAGTTTATAACATAAACAGTCTGTAATACTCTGGTTCTTACACATGCGCTTGTTCTGTAGTTATGCGGACTTTGTGTTTGGCAATGAGACTGAAGCTAGAACCTTCTCAAAGGTTCATGGATGGGAGGTAATTGCTTTGGCTGACATACTCATTTGATGAACAAAGAACTCCAATCGATATTGAAGAGTAATTTGAATCACGTTTTCTTTTCTCTCAGACTGAGAATGTCGAGGAGATTGCCATAAGGATTTCCCAGTGGCCCAAGGCGTCAGGGGCACACAAGAGGATTACTGTCATCACACAGGGTGCTGACCCTGTTGTCGTTGCTGAAGATGGGAAGGTGACACTATTCCCAGTTACCTTGTTGCCCAAGGAAAAGCTTGTTGACACCAACGGAGCAGGTAAGAATCAGTTAATTATTTCCTCTGTCAAGACGAGTTGAGTCCGCTCTTGTAACATGTGAATGTTGATACATTCTATTCTACTTATGTTTTAGAAATTTCACTCGTTTGAGATCTATCTACTGATCATAACATGTATGCATTCTTTCTTCCAGGAGATGCATTCGTTGGTGGGTTCCTGTCGCAATTGGTGCAAGAAAAGCCCATTGCGGACTGTGTCAAAGCTGGCACCTATGCGGCCAATGTGATCATCCAGAGGTCTGGCTGCACATACCCAGAGAAGCCAGAGTTCAATTAGATCCAATTTTGGTATCACCCCACAAGAGCACACATTCCTGCAGCATTTGATTTGCAGCAGTAAAAGAGTTCTCTACTGAAAACAGTTATTAATTTGCTGCGGCTTTCGTATCATTATTATTACTACTCGAAACTCCAGAACCCAGAGGTTATTTTGGTGGAGGAACTCTATATGTTTCTTGTTGCTGATGCCTCTAGTGTGCTTGGGGGATAGATACATTGTGCTATTTTGTTACTGGAATTAGTATTTTGTTCCGAAATCTTTAGTTCAGAATGTGAAGTCGACCAGATGGTCTGATGTATTGCTCTTTGTATCCTTTAATAGCCCAATAATATGATCTTTTTTTCTCTGCCTGGTTCCAATTGGATTTGCTTGATATCGTCATATCGAATATGTACATTTTTTCTTGCATGAAAGGCTATTGCTTGCTAATGGGTAATGCCAAACTTCAAATCATACTACAGATTGCTTAAGCATACACCAACTAGAAATTGAAGGAAAGCAGACCAGTGGGCTTATACAGTCAAGCTTACACCCCTGTAGGTTGACAGTTATTACTTAAGGGGTTTGTTTGGCAAGCATATAATTTGGCTATTGATTTCCAAATGTCAAGAGCCAAATCAATAGGACTTCCATCGATTCTCAGTCTGAACTTGTCAGAGTGAGGCAAATGGATCCATGGACCCCGACGCCGACGTGGAATCTTGCAGGCCAAGCACCTGCAAAGAATTTAAATTGTAGAGGCCAGTGACTCTGGTCAACTGGCTGCATTCCCTTACATCCAACTTCTTCAGATTCTTTAGACCAGATATATCCGGCAGCTCCTTGATTGACTTGCACCCTGACATCAATAGTACTTCCAGCGATTCCAATCTCTCAACTCCCATGACCTCTGTCAGCTCTGTGCATTCCGTAATATTCAATATCCTCAGATGCTCAAGACGAGATAGATCAGGCAACTTGTCAATTGACTTGCACCTCGACATCTCTAGCACTTGTAACAATTCCAAACTCTCTAACCCCATTATCTCCGCCAATTGTGTGCACCCGCTGATGTCTAACGCTTTCAGATGCTTCAGTTCTGACAGATCAGGCAACCTCACAATTGATGCACAATCAATCAACTTTAGTGATACCAATGACTCCAGTCTTTCTAGCCCCGTGACTTCTGACAGTTCTGTGCATTGTCTTATAGTCAAATCTATCAAACTCGTGAGACCAGGCAGATCTGGTAACTTGAGAATTGATGAGCACTGGGATAGTTTGAGCACTTGCAACGAATTCAAACCACAGTCCTCTGTCATCTCAAACGATGTGCAGTTGCTAATATCCAATCTTTTGAGATTACACAGATTTGTCAACTTCTTTATCGTTGTCCAACTGTATATTGTTAGCTCTTCTAGCGATTCCAACCCGTTGAGCTCTTCAAGCTCGATCAACTGTGTGGCATCCCGAATTGTTAATTTCTTCAAATTCTGGAGGGCATATAGATTCGGCAGCTTCTGAATGGAGGGGCAACTTAAAATATTTAGCTCTTCTAACGACTGCAGTGTGTTAAACCCCATAATCTCGGTCAATTGATGGCAAAAACAAATCTTTATGACTTTTAGATTACCAAGACCAGAGAGATCTAGGATTCGGATTCGTGGCACAGATGCAGTATGTAAAGGACCAACTGGAGGAGATTCCATAACAGTTAACTCCTTGAGGTTGCTGAAAGAAGAAATACGTAGTAGTCCTGTATCTGGTGATGCAAAGTCTCTCAATTTCAAAGTCGTCAGTGCTTGCAGAGATTGAAGAAGGCCTTCAACATTAACTAACTTGGGACAACTCCTTATTTCCAGATCTGTTAAGGAAGACTCTCCCATTGATGCATCCAAACCTTGGATTTCAAACAGGACCCGGCAATCAAGAACCGCTAATGCGTCTAACTTGGTCAAGTTGCAGAGACTGGGCAGTTTATCCAGAGCATCACAATTGCTCACAGTAAGCCGTTGCAGGAGCACCAAATTCTGTAGACCGTCGAGACTTTTCAGGTATCGGGCATCAAGTATAGTAAATTCTTTCAAATTTCTCAGCTGTCCAAGGCCTCGTATCTCATCTACCAGAAAACACTGAAGTCTTAGCTCGGTCAAATTACTCAGATTTGCAAGATTCGGTAGCGTCTCCAATTTCGAACAAGCAAGCACAACAAGGCTGCTGAGAGAGGATGGGAGCTGAGCAACTGAGTCTCCCATGATCCCATCACTACTAGTGCTACTACCCTCTGCAGCTGACTCCACCTGCAGCAGTAGACTTCTGATATGGGAATAGTTTATCATCAAGCTCTTCAACTTGGTTAGGTGAAGCCATATATCTCCAGGAATTTCAGCCAAACAATACTGAAAGCATAGCTCCTCCAACTCCTTGAGCTCCAACAGATTTGGAACCTTGGGGGACGAATGGGCCAGTTTCTTTAAACTTGTCGGGAGTGCAGGTACTTCCACCGGAGATGATGACCTCAAACTCAAGATTTCCAGAGAGCTTAGATTACCAATACCGGCTGGCAATTCTTTCAAATTGGAAGTATCAATCTCTTTCAGATCTTTAATCATCCCAATGTCACCTTTCAGCTTTGTTATCTTGCTACCCACGAGCCTCAGCAGTATTAAATTATTGAAACTACTGATGTGCATTTCCCCTCTCATCTCAGTACAGTGCTCAAATTTTATTACCTCAAGTCTGCCACAGGAGGACAAGTCGGGAGCTTTCACCAATTCATTGCACCCCCATAGATTTACGACCTTCAGCTTCATACCCTCCTCCTATAGAATTACAGGTAACAGTCAATTTTTTTCCCAAACAAAGAAAAGGAAAAGAATATAAATTGATCATCTCACCTTGACTCTTTTCCAGCCTCTCCAATCATCTCTTATGCAGGATCGAACTATATCAAGAATTACCACTTTCTTCACGTTAATATCATATGGTATTGAACCACAATGATCCAATTTAAGCCATCGTACATTTGGAAGTATGTTACTGAAATCTCCAGTCATTCTCTCATTCGTCACTTGAAGAAACCTTATCCCGGATAAATTCCTGAATTCTTTTTCTGTCAACTTCAGATAATCTCGATCTATCGTGTTGATTCTAAGAACTTCCACCTTGTCATTTCCCTACAATATGAAACGGCTCAAACTCGTAACTCTTAGTTTCATCAGAACTTTCATGTCCCAGCTTTCAACAACTATAAACATATTAATCATCTATGTTTTGTTTCCTCGTTTGATCATGCACATAATAACTGCTTAATGAGCAGGGCAGGCCACACTCTAGAGAGAGAAAACTATATTGATCTTCTAAAAGACACAAGCCTATGTGGCCATAGAATCAGTTGCTGCAAAACAAAAATTTCAAACAACCAGTAGCTAGACTGAACCGAATAAGGCAATAGTTATGCCAGCATTAAAAAAAAAAAGAGCTAAATGCAAACAATAAACATACCTGTCCATTTTCTAACATATTCAATGCATCCTCGTTGGACCATATCCTACTGCGTTTCCATGGTTGTTGACTATTTTCTTCACGAACAATAGCTCGACCAAGGTCTCTGATGTGGTCATGCATCCAGAACCGATTTCTCATGTCAACTTTTATCAAGGATTTAAGAATAAGATTGCTAACACCACTTTCTGGATAAAACTTACAATCACTCCACATATAAAATGGTGATGTTTTGGTTTCTCCAATAAAAAAACAAGCAATATCTAAAAAGATTTCCTTTTCTGTGGGGCTTAAATCATTATAACTTATTTTCAAAATTTCATACACACCCGTGCTAGGTCTTTCCCTTAATTCCTCCAACTTTTCTTCCCAAACTTTTTTCTCTTTACGAAACAAAAGTGATCCTACAACCTTTATAGCTAAAAGGAAGTCCTGCAGCAACTTTTACAAATTCCCTGCCAAGAGCTGCTTTTTCTTCTTGAGGATCATCCGTCCGAAACGCATGTCTTCGAAAAAGTTGAAAAGAGTTGGTGTAACTCATTTCTTTAGCTTCAAATAACCTACATTCTTCAAAGAACTCTAAAACCCTTTTGTCTCTTGTCGTCATAATAAATCGACTTCCCGTGGAGAAATCTCGTAATTTTCCAAAGATTTTTTCGAACTCAAACCTCCCATCTATATCATCTAGAACAATGAAAACCTTGTACTTGCAAACTTTATCTCTAATTATGTGGATCCCTTCGCTAGTATCTTTAACATGACTATCATGCCTCAGAATACTAGAAATTATCTTGTTTTGCAAAGTAACAACACCATCATTCTCCAACAATGTTTCTCGGATATCTTCCAGAAAGCAAGAACGTTCAAACCATGAAGATACCTCGTTGAAGACAGCTTTGCTGATGGCGGTCTTGCCAATACCACCCATACCGTGAATCCCAACAATTTTCAGACCCTTAGAGTCCAAGTCCAGTAAATCAATCACTTCCCTTACCTGAGATTCAACACCAATCAACTCATCAGTCACTAATGTGTAATCTCCCATCAGATGTGACCACACTTGGGAGAAAACCTTATCTATCACTGCTCCTTGTCTGGAAATCGAACACAGAGTCTGAAATCAGTGGACAAATAAGCACATTTTGTTCTGCCAAAATAAGTATAGATAGTGAGGAGCAGATGCACAAAGAAGGGAGAGCAAGGAATCTTGTAACAGAAATGAAAACATTACCCGTCGGATTCAGTGACACGCCATCCTTTCATTTGGCCGACCACTCGGAGAGCTTCCTTCCATTCCCTGACTGTCTCTGCATCATATTCCCGACTGTGCTGTCGAAATGCTCGCCTGTAAGAACCCTCTTGGTGCCGAACATCCCTAGGCTCCATGAAGTAGAAAATGGGCAGCAAGATGTGGCCTGGGTTTTGATTCAAGGATTTGACCATGAGAGAGAGCTCTTCGAGGCACCATTTGCTGGAAGCATAGCCTTGGGAAAGGATTGGGATGTAGATTTTGGATTCGTGAATAGCCTGGACGAGGGACGGAGCAATCTCCTCGCCCTTTCGGAGCTGTTCGTCATCGTAGAAGGCGCGAATCTTGGAATGGGCCAGGAAGTGGTAGAGAGAATCGGCAAAAGTTGTTCGCACGTCGGGGCCTCTGAAGCTCAGGAAAACCTCGTAATTTCCAGCTGGAAGAGGAGCCCGCGTAGAAGAATCGGAGGTAGAGGAGGATGAGGCGCGGTCGGAGTCGGAGTCGGTGGAGGGTTGGTGGGAGGTGGAGCTCTTCTTCTGACGCCGGGAAATCACGGAAAATGCAGCTAGGGAAAGTGCGGCCACTGCCAGAAACGAAGGCCAGTTCCGCTCCATTGCTCAATTAACTCTTTCTCCCTGTTCTTTCTTAATCGATCGATGGAGATGGAGATGTAGGTGTGTGAATCCCAGAAAACTTGTGAGGGATGAAAGAGAGCAAAGGTTTCAGAGACCTTGACTACCTACCCTAAACAACGACTTGCGCAGTTGACTTGAGCCCCTGAAACTTCAACGAAACAGAGGTCTTCCCGAGCTGGGTTAGCATGCCGAAGGGCGTTTCTTAGTAAGCTTCAAATCCCCCCACTTCCGACCGTCCGATCTAATTTAGATATCTCAAATCTCCAATCTCTCACAACAAAAGGTGTACTGTAGGCAGTAGGTTAACTAATAATAAGTTGCTATTTTGCTGCAACTATGCTTGTTGTTGGGTAATTTTCTGTGTTTTGTGGGTGATATTGTAATTGTAAAATACACTAGAAAAGCGAGTGAGTGCGTAAAGAACAAAGTTATACCAAATTAAGCACAATTGTTGTTCTTTAGAGTTCGAGTAACGAAACAAGGTTCGTCACAATATTATTATCGCTTTAATATTTTCCATTGCCTGTTATAGAGATAGAACATATATGATTTCGTACTTTTTCCTACACTCAGGTGAATAATGTGGCGATGAGCCCTGTAATTTTTTTGAAATGTTGGAAATCATGGTATGTATGTGTATGATTTTATGAGACTGTAATTAAGCAATGTGATCATGAAATATATAATAAAATAAATATTTAATATATAGTTCTTGTAGTTTAATTGGTTAGAGCACCCGCTTAATAAGCAAGAAATCTTGAGTTAAACTCTCAACAAAGAGCAATATATACATAGATTTAATGCAATAGGAATTTTATTTTCCGGAAAGCCAAAGCACTCCAGAACACATGAGATTTTTTCATTTACCAAGACATGGTTAAGTATTCGTTCCAATTTCCATGCATCAAAGCTTATGTTTAGGAAATTGGATGAAAATTTTAGGGCTAAATGGCAGAATTTTAGGGCAAATGGAAGGAGATTTTCATTTACTGAGTGGATTAATTGTAGATCTCGAACATCAATGGTTCTTAAATTATATTGTAGTTGTTGATGTTTGTTATTTGAGAATTTGTTAAGTTCGTTATCTAGTACAATTAGACAGCTATGGACGATCTGTTCAAAATAAATAAGTATTAATATTAATCACCCATTAAATCAAACACATAACATTTCTACTTTTCTTTAATTACGACATCATAAATTAATGAGATTCCTTTTCATGTATAACACCTAATTAATTAGAGTGTCGTCGCTCTCTGTTCTACCCCTATATTGTTTGGACATTACTACCTCTTTCGAAAAACGGGTAGATTGCATGCAATGCTACTAGTTTCAGCAATATCCTATTATCATAGTCGTAAAGATCGCACTTATATATCCGATTTAAACATGAAATAACCACTACGTACGAGTACTGTCTATATGCTTTCCAATCCATACCTTCCAATAATTTCGCGTAAGTAATTGTAATAGATATAGATAGATAGAGGCTAGCTTTCAATTACAAAAACAACAGAAACAAAACAAAGAATTATTAAAAGAAAAACTATATATTCAATTCACTAGCTACATCAGCAACCGGAGATTGCACCGGCACCATCGACGATTCCGAGGCGGCGATCCCCATGGCGTTGATGCACAAGGAAGAGCAAGCTTCAACGCACTCCGGTGACGAACCGCCCGTCTCACTCTCGCATTGCGGTACGCACTCCGACATGCACCCGTGGGCCATTGCTTCCCCGACCCTCACCGTCGTCGTAATCATCACCGCCGCCACCATTACTAACCTAATTATAATCGCCAGAGAGCTCATATTATTATTAACCATCGTCATTTTCTTTGTAATTAAAAAGCCTCTTACGAGCTGGCAACCCGAATATATTACGAGGACGAGCTAGCTAGGGCGCAAAGGGAAAGTGACCGGCCAGAATATGTGAGGTTGTTCTTCATCTTGTGTCTCCAATGGCGTTGAGGAAATTTAGGGCTACCCAGATATATAGGTTCCTTATTATTATCCGATATCCCTTATTTCTCTCGTAACCGCAACGTTGACGTTAGCTTTATATTAAACACGTGCACGCATGAAGGACGACGGAACGAAGGGAAATGGAGGGAGAAGAATTAATTGTAATGAGATGTCATTAATGGGGAGATCAACGATAATCACGGTACGTTAACGGGAGAGTGACTAAATGTGACATGTTTCGGTAATTCGAGTGATTAAATGTGACATGTTTCAGTAATTCGAGTGACCGAAGTTGGACGGAGGCTACCGAGAGAGTGACAATGTGTGACTTGTTTCAGTAATTCAAGTGACCAAAATGAATATTAAATTTTTCTTGTAACTAAACATGACATGATTTAATAATCTCAATGACCAAATGTGACATTTGTCCCACCATCGCCTAAGAAGGATGGGAAAAAGCTCGGATACTACTTATACCCCTTCAGAACCTTTTTTAGACCAAAATAATGTTCGTATTGGGCCTAGATCCGCACAAATTTTACCTTGAGGTGCATATCAATGTGACTTTCCGAGTCACCCGTCCTTACTGTTTCACTTCACCCGAAAATGCGTATTGTCAATAAAGATTGTGTTGGGCCTAGTATTGGCATACGTGGGCCTGAAGCCCATGGTTATGAAAGCCCACAAAGACAGGCCAAGACAAGGTCAGTTTAACAATGCCCGACATGGAGACCGCCCGACATTTACGTCATCCATACGTCAGAAACCGCCCGACCAATGGGCTAAAATCCTGCTGTCAGAAGAAGTCTGACATTCGTACTGACAAAGCATATAATAAAGTTAGAGGCGTCCTAGACCGCCTGACACAGCATTAAATGTCTTGATTCTAAGTCCAGGCCAGTATAAATAGCCCCAAAGGGGCAGCATTTATGGTAACTTCGATCAACCGAATTCTCTCTCTATACAAACTTATACATTCCCTTCTCTCTCTAACTTAAGCTTCGGAGGAGGTCCCAGGCAACCCCTGAGGACCTTTCGTGCAGGTCTCGGAAGACCGCCTCCCACCTGTCAAGCCGCCAGAGGTCGTGGAGTCTCACATAACCGCCTGGTACATCCCAGGCACAAACATTTTGGCGCCCACCTTGGGGCCTCACGACTTCATTGCCAAAAGAATGGGAGACGACTTCGAGACCCCCCTCAAAGGGATGACGGAAAACAACACCCTCAGAGGACTATCACCGAGAGTCGAAGACGAGAGCGAGCTCGAAGAAGTGGTCAAAAGCCAAGGAGTGCAGATAGCCAACATGCAAGACAGTCTCTCTCAAATCCTCCAACTCTTGAGGACGAGAGATGAGACCGCCGAAGGCTCCAAGGCAAAGACGCGGGAAGAAAAACAGAAAGTCGTCCAGATCCTTGACAGCCCTGCTCGGACAGAAGGCGGAGGACCCGACGCGGAAGACGCCGACCTTGGGTTTCTAGAGGAACACTTAAGGTCAACCTATGGGAAACACAAGAGCCCGAACGTGCTGCAAAACCCGCTCTCGAGAGAATTATTCAAGACCCCGGTTCCCCCTAATTTCTCCTCGCTAGGTCTTCCCACCTACAGCGGGACGTCCGACCCCGCAGACCACCTCTGCGCTTTCATGCTGAAGATGCAACTCATCAACGCCTCAGACTCGGATCTGTGCAAGGCGTTCCCGGTAACTTTCAGCGGTCAATGTCGCACTTGGTATACGTCCCTCCCTGAAGGCATCATCGAGAATTTCGAGCAGTTCGCAATGTTATTCTCGACGAAGTTCGCGTCACAAAGACGGCGCAAGCTCACCGTCTCCGCCCTCATCAGCTGCCGACAAAAGAAAGAGGAATCTCTCGCCGAGTTTTATGACCGATGGAACGCGATTGCATGCGAAATAGACGGCATCTCCTCGGTCGTAGCCGCCGGCAACCTTCGGATATCGACAACCAGCATCGAGCTCAAGAGGACATTGATAAAGAAGGAAGCGGCCTTGACCTCCTGGTCTGAGCTAGACCAGTTGGTGCGACGAGCAATCTTGCTTGAAGAAGCCCTGGTGACGGACGATCGTTCCCAGCCAGGGCGGTCGCAAAACGACCAGCAGGAGCGACGGGACACGCGACGAGGAAGGCGCTCCCCGGAGCGCGGGACCTACCGCAATCGGTACTCTGAGCGTGAAGGCCGGAAGGAGGTGCTCTCCACTGACCGCGAAAGGGGACGAGAACGACGGAGGGGCGGAAGAAAGCATGAGGCCTCCTCGGGACATGAGTCCCAAGAAGGAAAGAAGTGGTGCGACTGGCACCAAGTCACCACCCACGACACCACAGAGTGTCGAGAGTTTAAAGCTAGCCTCAAGTACTTGGCTCCAGGCGACCTGCGGAGCCGCCTGGAAACGAGGCGCCCACATCGTGGCCACTCTCAAGAAGCGGGAGAAGACTCTCCCAGCCCCGAACTAGAAAAGGCTAGAAGAATGCGAAAGGAAAGGTCAAGGTCTCCAACAAGGAACAAAGCCGCATCGCCTCAAAGACAATCTCCCGCCTATCGGCCCCAACGCAACGACGATGATGGAATGGAGGTCATCACCATTGCGGGAGGACGCAAGCGGCCTAGGACCGAAGGAGACCGCATAGCCCAGTGTCTTCATGTACAACGAAGAGCGACCACGGATGTGACGTTCCTGCCCTCCGAGCTTGCTAAAGAAGAGAACTCAGAAGATCCGTTGGTCGTCGCTTTAGAACCGCGAAATTTAAAGTTACGCGGGCTCTTGTCGACAACGGGAGCTCCGCCGACATTCTCTTCTACTCAGCCCTCAAGGGAATGAAGAAAAGCGTACAAGACCTCAATCCCTCCAACACCAACCTGGTGGGCTTCTCGGGAACGAAAGTACGGGTCTTGGGCTCCATCACCCTAAAGGTCACCATCGGCGAAGGGGGGATCACAAAGACGAGACCAGTAGAATTCCATGTGGCGGATTGTCCGTCCGCATACAACGCCATCCTGGGGCGCGGCTTCCTGGCCTCCTTCGAAGCGGTCGCCTCTACGTGCCATCAAATGCTAAAGTTCCCCAGCGGCGGGCAGATGGGCCGCGTGCGAGGGAACGTCAAGGAAGCCAAAGAATGCTACCAAGCAACGATCGAGCACCTCGAAGTGGACCTAGTGGACGCAAGAGATGATGTCCCCCGACCCGAAGCGGTCGAAGGGGACATCGAGGTCGCTCTAGATGAAGAACGTCCCGACCGGATGGTACGCATCTCGACGCATCTAGCGGGCGAGGAAGCCCAAAAACTGCTCACACTCCTCCGAGAG